ATAACGATGAACTGGTTTCGGTTGTCGGGTTAACACGTATATTAATTTTCTTTTGAACTTTAATTAACTGTCGTCATTGTTGCTTGTTCTGGCGGCTCGGCGGTCAAATTTGATGGTTCGGTCGTTGACTTTGTCTGCGTCACTTAACATCGTTATTGTATCTAAAATATTATTCAGCGTTTTGAACGTAATTGATATAAGGCGAAAATGAGGTGCTACTTCTTTCGATTAGGATTGAAATAAATTAGAAAAAAATAGCTAAAGGCAAAAAATAAATTGAAATACAACATTACTTCTTGCTTCGTACTAAATGAAAGCATGACGTTAGGCGTATTTGTAGATTGCTACTAAAAGTAGGGAATATTGGTCTCAATTTTTTTTTTAATTGAAATTAGCCTTAGATAAAGGTATACCTAATTTAAAAACGAATTAACTTACTAAACCTTGCGACTATGAAAAAATAAGATTTATAGCGACAGTATTAGCGCACCATTTATTAATAGGACACACTTGTGCTCTCCCTTATCTCAACAGTATAATTGTCAACGTGTGAATATTAAGTACATAATTATAATAACACTTATAGACCCCATTCAATCGAGATTACTTATTATAAGTAATTGTAAAGTGCCTCGTGAAAACAAGTAATTTTTGAATTGCAACAATCGTAGCATTTATAAAGTCACGAGATCGTCCACGTGCCTTTTTCCCTCATCCCGCCGGCACACGTTTGCTACGTATTCCAACAATCGTCGACAATCGCATGACGCAACGATCTCCATCGGTTTTTGTTCAATTCAACCTACACGCTGATGTCACCGTTTACAATCATCAGTATTGCTTTTGTACATAATGCTATGGATATAATGCTGTGTGGTTTCAGAACATAATAAACATTCTTGTCTATTTCCACGTAAGAGATATTCAGTTCCTGTTATCTTGATGGTAAACTCTTTGTTTCATCAACACTTCTGATCTGTATTGACTCCGGTTGAAAATATTCGTCTGTAATAAAACGTCTTTAGATATGTGTCACTTTTGGAACCGTTTCATTAATGTAACGCTTATCTTTAAAAGTGAATTCCATTAATTAGGGGCATTTGACCCGCTGCTGATAACTATCTATTCTCTGATATGTACTTACCAAAAAATCCCCTTTCTATAGTTGGCATTAACAATTCGTCGAGAAGTAATCGCTTCATAGTATGTTAATTTAACATTTTTTGGTGTCAAACACGTCAAGAATAAGTACTTATCGATATTTATTCGCACTGTATAAATCATTGGAACATTCGTCCGCGTAATGATACCGGAGTATCAAAATACGAAAGTCTCTGCTGTAAGGTCACTTCCTCGGCCGTCCTTGCCTTATATGGTTGTATCTGGCGACGCAAATGTGACTACTATGTAGCTTTTCTGTTTTGACGTATACTGCGTCTCCTTCGCACCATCATACCACTGCACTAGTAAGGTGGCTCAAAGTACGGAATGCATTATAGGTACTTGCACTTGTCGCTTTACATATTTATACGGCGTTCCATCCGGATACTTGCGAAATCGATGCATTTAATGTGTTTCCTGTATTGACGTGTCTTTAAAACAATTTAAATGATGACAGTCGTCTCGAGGATTTTTTTTTTTTGACAATGCGTATTAAGCAAAACCTCTCAACAATTAACTCGTTTAATAAATAATTGGACATCTGGTCAATTTACTATTTATGTAATAGGTATTACAACGTTGTACAATTATCACGTTGTGAAGCGACCGCCATTACTGCCTGGCCATGTGAGTTATATAAATAAACTCAATTATAGAATTCCATTTAGCCGATCGACACAATGCCATTAATACTACGCTAATCTATGAGCCTATGTTGTAAGAGATGTAACTGAATGATTACTCATTATGGTCCTTGTGATGTTTCATTAAAGTTTTTTTCTTAATTCACGGTTTTTGGTTGATGGAATCAATTAATGTAACCGCTCGTTTGTTTCTTTCAACAGCGTGGTTTCCCGTTTGACGAGGAAGAAGGGTCGGGCGCGTGGAGCGAGCTTGCGTCGCGGCATCCCGATATAGCGGCGCGTCTGCGGCAGCGTCCCGCCACCTGGGCTAGAAAGAGGCGCCCTTCGAGCCAGGACGCTACAGACGGTATGTATCTCTTTCATTGTAATTTAATAATATGATTCCAAAGGTCAAGGTCACATTTCAGTTGCTTACAGAACCTACAGAAGTTTAAGCACTTAAATATCTGTAGAACTGTACCACAACATCTTCTGAAATAAGACCTTTTTCTTTGCAGGTGTTTATAAAAAACGTTTCGTAATTGCAGATTTCGGCGACAGTTTTGGTGGCTTCGACAGATTTCCTTTCGACGACATCCCTCCAGAATTCAGAGAACATTTTCCCTCACATTGGAATCGCAGATTTGGTCCTCGTGACGAGCACCCGCCGCCGCAACAGACACAGCAACACGCGCCACAATCCCCGCCGGCGCAGCAACAGACTGCAGCCACACAGACTGAACAGGAACCTCAACCAGGACCGTCAGAACCTGAATCACAGACGCACCTCCCACAGTACGGATTAAGGAACACAGTTGACCTCGGTCAGAAAAGCCCCGCCGACCCTAGCTTGGTCGATGCGGACGACAGAAACCAGAGGTCTATGTCAGCGCCTCCAGACAGTTGCGCACCTCCTAACCAAAGCTTCAAAATGAGTGGACAGAACCACCAGGAACAACACGCACCACAGCACGGAGAGCAACACTCCAATGTGCGACACATACCCATCTTTGTGGAGGGCAGGGACGAGCCCGTGATCAACAAATCGGTCGATCACGGCACACACTTCGGAGATAGCAAGCCCGCATACGTGCCGCCACCACAGCAGCCACATATTGACAGAGAACAGTATTTCGCTGATGATGGTTCAGTTCCATACCATCATCCACCTAACTTCACGAGGGCTTTTGGAACGCCTTTCAACAAAGGATTTAGGCAGGGACCGCAACCATTCACACAGCAAAAAGTGTACCCGCAAGCCGCGTTTGCCCGCGGTGCTTCACCTCAGCGTTCTCAATCACCAAAACCCCAAGGACACTCACACCCGCATGAAGAACATTTTGTAAAAGTGCCAGTGCACCATGAACAGACTGTGCCTAAGACTGAACCTCCGTCCAGGACTCAACCGCGGCAGGCCCCGCCCCAGCAACAAGCGCCCCCGCAGCAGAAGCAGCCGCCGCCGCAGCAACCAGCGCCCCAGCGCGAGCAAACTCCGCCTCAACCCAAACCACAACCCACAGCCAATGACCCCATCACACAAATTCTCCGCATACAAACGGATGTACTAAATCTTATGACTGAAGTTGAAAACTTCGGTGGTACCAAAAATGATAAGAAATATTTGTTCCTAGATGAAATGCTTACTAGGAATCTCATTAAATTAGATACTATTGAAACCGAAGGCAAAGAAAATATTCGGCAGGCTAGAAAGGAGGCCATTAAATGTATCCAAAAATGTATAGCTGTATTAGAAGCCAAAGCAGAAAGTAACGCGGGCATTAAGAATGAACCTCAACCTTCAGATGTAGAAATGAAGGAGGAGAACACAGAAGCACAACAGGCAGCTGAAAAGGTGACGGAAAACGGCGAGGTTGAAATGAAGGAAGCCACCAAAGACGAGAGCCAACCACAGGAGCAAACAGAGCAACCTGCACAAGTAGCCCCAGCGACACAGGACGCTCAGAGTGAGAAACCGCAGGAGGTGACTACAGAGGCAAAGGTCCAAGACGAGCAACCTCAAGTTGTGCCTGCCGACAATAAAGAAGCTACCGAGACAATAGCTGCCGACACACGACCTGACGACACGCCTACCGAAAAAACAGACGAAACAAAAACTGAAGAACCAGAAGGTCCAAAAAAGGAGGGCAAAGTTGTAAAGAAACGGAATAAGAGTAAAGAAAATAAGAAAGATAGTACTAAGCAAGAGGATAGTAATAAGGAAGACAAAGTAGAGGAAAAGAAAGAAAGCTTAGATATAATGCAAGTTGATGATAAAGGTGATAAGTCGGAACCGCAGGTGATGGAAGTAGATGGTGCTGCTAGTCAATAAAGTTAGTTCGCAATAGTGAATTGTCTCATTAGATACACAGTCGTAATCCGCGCGCACGAGGCCTTTGTTAGCCTTCCTTAATATTCGTGTTAATTATTGTGCATAAATAACACAGGTGTTGACATTGTATTGTTTATGTTTGTACATTTTACGTTTTTAATATTAAACAAATGTGTAAAGATATTTGTCCTCTAGGATTTGATGGTCTCCTGTCCTAATATTTAATATTTATTGTTTATCATCACTTGATAACACAATTTTCTGAATAAATAATGAATCCGTTTATAAGTGTTTTATTATTGGTTACATTACATATATTGGGTAATACAAAATATACATAACTAACTATATTACATAATAATATATTACTTTGATAATATTTAAACTTCATGATGGCCTACCGTCATTAATCACAGCATATTAAGACTTCACTTAAATAAATCAGTCCGCAAACTAAATATTACACACATACATGCTGTACAACTACATACATTTACACAAAGTATACAGAAAAGCTAGCTTTTGGTAAACAGGTTACATAGCACTTGAAAAAGTAAAACTAACATACAACATTATATCAGAAAAGAACAAGAAAATAAAGTATTATTACTAACTAATATGCTTACAGCTACATTCTACAAGTAGAACAAATCTATTTTATCTTCGAATATACAAAATAGACTATGACAATTTATCAGTGGATAGCTTATTATATTAGCCACTTACTTTCTATCAAATATTTTTATTAGATTCTCAACTTTATCGTTTTGCTATAAAAACGGAAATCCAATGAAAACAACTGAGACCGGAGTAGATAGACCTGCTGGTCACCGTACAGTACCTATGATATTATCATTTTCAATAGAAATAAAAGATTATAATAATTCTCACTCCCATTCCTTCATCACCTTCTCCCAGTCTTCATCATTGATGAAGGGTTTATCGATGCAGTTGATCATGTACTCGCCGCAAAAGATGCATTCGCTGGCTATCAGGTCATCGATCTCATTTCTAAGGATCTCTCGGAGTGGGAGGCCACTGGATGTGATCGTCGAGAGCTCAATGTTGGATAGAACTGACAACTGCCTTTGAAGGTCTGATAGCTTGTTGCGGCGGGCTGGTGCTGTGGAAATTAGGTGGTGGTTATGATTATGATTTTTTTGCTAAAGATTTAAGTTCTTGAGTCTTGAGCAAAAGTTATCTATTTCGTACCGAGAACTTGTTTAAATTCGTATGATGAAAAATTCATGAATCTTAATTCAATAAGCATATTATTAATATGTGCATTCAAATATGAACTTATCATAAAGCAATAATATTATTGTACTGCAAACTTCATAATATAAATATGAAGAGATTTCTCCGAATCGATTTCGATGACTATTTCACATGATTCACGCTAACTGCGTAGGAGACTATACATTTACAAACAAACATTAAATAATTTTGACCGAATAGTCTCTATAGCAAAGGATTTTTGACTGGTTTTTTTTTTCAAATATTCTCAGTAGTAAATCTGGTATTGTGTCCGGTATACGACAATCGCACTCTACTACTTCTACCATAACAGAATAAAAGTCTTTTAATAATATTAAAAACTGCATACTTAATATGGGCAACGTCTCCTGCATGAGACAGTCGCTGTGGAACTTGTGTCCGCAGGGGAACAAGTAGAAGGGACGCAGTAGGAGCGCGATGTCGCACAGACAACACACGTCTGATACTAGCACTGTCACACTGCGGTTACGGAATGACTGGATCTCTGCCCGTACCTGTGGGAGAATAATATGTATATGTAAGTATAATGGTAGTAGTTTCTAGTTATTTCGCTCTGGTGATCGTTGTCGACTTTAAAGAATCTCAAGAATTTTTTTTAGGAGGGAAAATCATCGAATACCTTCTCCCGTCTGGGTGAGGCGGGAGGGAGTGTCAGAATCTTACTGACCAAAAACCACCCCGTTCCTACTCCTGTACTTCGAGCCAAAGCCCCGGAAGAATCTCAAGAATAGACGACAATTTCAAATTGACTTTTTCTAGAACTGTCCTAGTTAAAGGTTGTGGATTTGTCAGATATATTATCAACTCTATCCGTTTGTAATAAAGCTGAAAATAAAACTACTAAGTTAGCAACTGAGTACTATTGTAATCATTCTCAAGAGTTCCCACCATGGTTTACACCTTGAACGCTATGGGTTCTAAGGGATAACATATGGGCCAAGATAGCGGAAGATTTGTCCTCAACATTATTCTGTCGACATGCAAAGTCCACTGTTTATAATACATTCAATATAGGTGTAGGTTAAAATTGTATGAAACTAATTCTACTCACGTATTCAGCAGCCGCAATCGCTTCTTCCATTTCGGCCTTCATTTCTTCAATTTGATTGTTGTTTTCCTGTAAAAATACGGTAACAAATTAGAAATCACTGTCTGATTTTCCTCCGAACACTAAACAACATAGCTTGTTAAAATTTAATAGATACCTAAGATTGTATTTCCTTCATCATGACGTGATTCAAAATTTTTTGTTCTGTTGTATGATTGTGAAATCACGATCACGTTCCTCAGTAATGAGGGAAGGACAAAGGAGGATGATTCGATTGATCATATTTTATCAGATATGTGATGTTACGGTTACTTGCTTGAATTAAGATTCCGTTTAATTTTTTTATGGGACAAACCGGTAAACGAGCAGACGGATTACCAGATGGTAAGCAATCGGCGTCGCTCTTGGACACATGGAAAACCAGAGCCGTTAAAAGTGCGTTACCGGCCATTTGGGGTTTTTTTAAGAGCGGAATTTATCGAATATCTGCTTCCGTCTGGGTGAGGCGGGAGGGAGTGTCAGCCTCTTACTGACTAAAAATCACTCCGTTTCTACTCCTGCACTTCAAGCCGGAGCCCCGGTAAGCCCCGGTTCTCCGCGGCTCCGTATCGCCATCAGCTCTATTGGGCCCCATCTGTGGCCTTTAGGGGATTAGGAAATTGAGGATTGTTGAGGATTCAGGGATTGGGCAGATTAGGGAAGGGGAGGTAATTGGGCCTCTGGTAACCTCGCTTGCGTTGTTTGATGTCGGTTTTCTGGGAGGCCGTGGTATCACTTCGGGCGAGCCGGCCCATGCGTGCATGGCTCTCCCAGACTTTCATTATAAAACAGATCTTTAGACCAATTTACATCCAAATCGGTTCAGTAATTTAAGTGTTAAATAAAGTAACAAACGAATCTGGTTTCGCGTTTATACCACTACTCATTAAATGAGCAATAAGTAACAATTAAATATTTGTAACTGCCTCGTTGGCCGAGTGGTCGTAAGTGCGACTGCCGGACAAGCGGTCTCGGGTTCGATTCCCGGGTCGGGCAAAGTATTACTGGGTTTTTAAATATTCTCAGTAGCAGCACGGAGTCTGGAATTGTGCCCGGTATATGGCAATAGGCTAACCCCCTATTACATGGGACTCATAACATAAATAGTGAAAAGTGGGTTTACATTGTACAGTGGTATAATGTGCACCTCTGCCTACCTCTTCGGGGATAAAAGGCGTGATGTTATGTATGTAAATATTAGTAAATGAGTGTTACCTGCAAAGAATCACAGATAGGTTGTCTAAAGTGATCTATGGTGATGACATCGCTGAAGAATGGCAGTATGTCTTCGATCTTGATAAGCGGACATTCCTCGAGGAAACTCATCGCTTCTTGCATGTCCTGGTTCTTCGTGATCACGTTTTCAGCTGAAAACAGACGACATATAATGTCATTCATGAAATAATAATATATAATGGTACCTTATAAGAAAAATTCATGTACAGAATGTAATTGTAAACACATCAAGTTAGCAATAATTTATGTCAAATATGTCTTGGGTTAAATTTTCGAATTGACCAAAGTGTTACCGAGTCTTTCGATTTCAAAATGCACACCTATTAAAATGGATGTAGAATCTTTTGAAAAGTGAGTTTTCCTTTACACTCACTCATGAAAGTACAGATTGTTACATAACATAACATCACGCCTTTTATCCACGAAGGGGTAGACAGAGGTGCACACAGAAGTAACACCCACTTTTTACTATTTATGTTATGAGTCCCATGTAATAGGGGCATGTGAGCCTATTGCCATATACCGGCCACATTTCCAGACTCCGTGCTAATACTGTAATTTTTTTTAACTCAGTAATACTTTGTACGACCCGGGAGTCGAACCCGAGACCCTTTGCCCAGCAGTCGCACTTGCGACCACTCAGATTGTTACAATACTTTGATAATCAACCATTAACACTAACAACCAAAATTCAGTTGAAAAGAACAACTCACCGATATTCAGCCACAGTTGTCGCCTAAGTTCCGTCTGCTCTGGCATGTCAGCTATACTCTTGGCCAGAGTCAGGCTCACTTGCAGTGCTAGTTCCACTGCTGAATCCCACAGACCGAGCAACGCTGACAGTTTCACGCACGCTTCTGATAAATTCTTTTCGCGACATAATCTGGAAAGATTTGGTTTAGAATTAATCTGAAGGAAATGATCTCAAAAAAAATGAATGAATTTCTATATGATTTTAAACAGTAAAATAATTCAAAGGGGGTTTTATTGAAAAATTGTGTTGCCATATTTTGCAGTATTAAGGCCGGTGAAGCCGTTCTAAAGAAGGAAAACATCTTTTTAATACCCAGATCAAATATCAACATCAGCTTATAGAAAATCATGAAAATAACAGATAAGCAACTGACCTCAAAGCATAATGCACATCATAATTGACCATAGTAACATCCTGTCCTTGTCGCGACAGATACATCATGAGCGCCTCATGATCGTGCTCCACGTATAACGTCAGCAAATAGTTATGTATCGCCTTGTCTCTCACGTTAAAGTGCTGCAATATAAACTCCAAGTACCGTATGATCTCGGACACATGAGCCTCATCATTCTTACAAGACAAAAATGCTGGTAGCAATTTTGAAGGGCTCAGTCTAGCTCCCTGGGATATCAAAGCATTCACGGTATGTTTAGGACTCTCCTCCATAAGCGTGGCGGCGAATTGATAGAACAACTCTGGCCTTTTCAAAGTCTTCAACGTATCTATTGCTTCTAAATAAGACTTTTTGCTAATATACTGTGCTACTACACTCTCATAGTCCTCATTAATTATAGTCAATTTTATCAAATTTAGTTTATCGCCATGAGAAGCCATCAAGTCGTACACAACAGATTTGACATGCTGCATACATTTTGCAACTTTAGGATGAAGTAAAAATACTTCGAAATTACTTTGTATTTGATGGTATTCCTCTGTATCTTGCTTTCCCGTACGACGGAGGAGACCTAACTGCGACAAATATAACTCAGTCATCCATATAACCAGCATGGATATCAAAGTCTTCTCATCTTCTTTCAAAGTCTCCAATCGCTTTTCGAGGTACACTTTCAAAGCATTAATTTGGTCTATTTCAAGAAACTTAAGGCATATTGTTTCGAAACTCTTTTGCGTGTCTGCAAATATGGCCGCACTCTTTTCATATTCTCCTTTATTGAAGAGTAGTTCAGCTTGTTTGACATTGATGACGTCGATGTAAGCTGGATTGTTGTAGCAGTATTCTTTGGCTAAATCAAATTGTTCTTTATCAGAGTAAATGATCCACAGATTTCGTTCTTCTCTAACTACTTTGTATCGGAACACACATTTGTCTGTAATGGCCCAAATTGTTCTCTTTTTGGCGTCTCTCACTATATTCTTTAGCTTCCCTTGAGCTTCTGAGTACCTGTCTTCGAAGACCAGTTCCTGGCTGATGAGAGAGATGACCTTGACTCTGTCAGAGTACATAAGGAGTACATGGAACTCTGTGAGGACGAAGGATAGAGGAGCGTTTTCTGGCTCGTCTCCATCTGTTGGGTAACTGATCAGAGCTCCCTGTGTGAACAGCGAGTTCGAGTTCTGTTGAGAAGTTGGGTCCAGCTGTAAATACATTAAAAATTTTATTGACATTGCCCAGGTTACACTTAAATATACACTGAAGTCCTGATTTAGTAAGCCTACTGAAAATTTTGAGTTCAAAAACTGAAATCGGTAATAGAAAGAACCCAAAACCACATGTTCTATGTTTTGTTTTATTCATATCATTAATTTATTTAAATTGTTTCAAGGTAACAATATGGGTTATGATCACCTGAAATAAAAGTATTTTATTTTATATAAAATAATTTCATGACACTCAGATATGTAAGTCAAGAATTCATAGTTTTAATTAATTGGACAGATGCCTGTTAGTACATTTGCTGCGATAATGTATGTATATGAGGAAAATATATGGTATAAATAAATAATTACCTAATAATGACTACACGTCAATGTGGGTGGTGTCTATGTTTAGAAACAGTTTAAAATATGTTTCACACTACGATTAAGCCTACATTTATTCAGAATAAAAATCTTTCTATTTGGAATTTTTAGAGACAAAATAAAATATTGGTATGGCTCAAAAACTGGTATTATTTCAACTTCAGAAGCATTAATTAATAGTTTTCCTGCACAGATGCTAAACCTCAGATCTTATATTTTCTAGCAGTATTTACTCAGAATGTGCTTGGCATTCGAAGCTAAATTCTATACTAACCTGTCCATAGAAAATACCCGGCTCAGTCAACCATGCAAAAGTCTTAGGAACGTCATTTTTATCGAAGAACTGCAGCTTCGAATATTTCAGTGTAGATGGTATCTCTTGGAACCCAGTCTCGGGGATAGTCAAGTATGAATAGAAAAGAGACTGCAAACTTGGCTTGTTATCCTTCATAACAGCTTGGCCCATAAACTGATACAACCTCGTTGGTGTAGTAATAAAAATAAAATATCTACTCGTATTATTTACTCTGTGGAACTGTATGCCAGTTATCGGCATGTCCGTGCCTTTGCCGATGTCGAAAATCTGAAATTAGAAACGGTTTTTGTTTATTTTATTGTAGATGCATTACATATTGTTACATTGCAAGCTTAGTAGGCAGAAAATATTATGAAAAGTGTTACATTTTCTATTTAAAGGCACATCCAGTATTTCATGAGATTTTTATTACAACAGAAATGTTAAGCTTTCTTTGATTTTGTTATTATTAACTATAATATCATTAGGGTTGGTAATTAGGTTGTGCATTATTAAGATCTATTTGCTGCCCATTATTTATTTTTGTAAGCACAAAACACACAATACAAGTAATTAAAAATATTAGGCATCCACACTTGTCACACTGCACATTTAAAAATATAAATAAAAGATAATAAATGAAAGCAAAAATGTTAGTTTACCAAACCATCAATATCCTTGCTCCCATACAGAGGGAGATAGCTAGGCAGCTTGTGTAAGAAATTAATAAGAAAATTAAAAAACATAATTAGACATAGACAGAAGACATATGAATAGAAGACAGTACAGACTTACAATACAGATAATAAAATTAATTGTGATTTTTACAAGATAACTTAAAAAGTGGTACAGAAATTAAACTGTACAAGAATATTCAATAATAGTATCCATTCTATTAGTGTAGATTCATTAAAAGAAAATAATTATATGGTGCATTAAAATTTTGTTTAAAACAAAATTTGAGTATACACACACATGTAAAATATTTTTATATACCTAAATAAGAGAGAGGAGTAATCATTTAATGAAAAATGTTTTGAATAATGAAAACAAAGATTGAAGAAGAATAAATAATATCTATTTACCTCTCTCCAATAAGGGTGACTGGCTGTAAAAGTCTTATCGCTGTCAGCTTCCAACTCAGTCTCAATAATATGGCCCTGAGACGTACCAAGGAGGATTGGACCGGTATTAACCTCTGATGTGTTCTCCCAGTTCCAACCTACTTCGGTAACCTCATAGTTTCTAGATTTACTGACTAATTTATATTTCGAACTACTCTGGTGTAAGTATATGAGTTCTGGGTAGCCATCTTTCTTCTTTGAAGTGAATGCCATGAGTAGGTGATGTCCAAGAGGATCTAGGAAGATTCCTGTTAGCTTCGAGTTTGGTTGGACAAACTTTGAATATTGGATTTCTGGAATTGATTAATATTTGTGTTAGCTGGTGTAAATTATGATTGACTATGTTTATTCTACTTTGTATGATATTGTGAAACAGACAAGAGTAAACCAGGTTTATTAGTATAATTTTAAAACATAAATTGGTTGCCTTTGAAGTGTCTTCTGAGCAACTTATACCACACACGCATTCTTTACCAACAGGAAAAACAAAATAAGATGATAATAGAAGAGAATCCTAGTGGCATACCTTCTCCACGATCTGGCTTCTTCAAATTTAGACGAAACAGGTTCCCATTAGCCATAGCAAGAACTAGATAATCGTTGCACACTGCTGCATGAGTGATCGCATCAGACAGGTTCTTCAACATCATTTTACTCTTGGAAAACATTGGAGTATTGTCTTCCATCAACATGTTTATGTACCCAGAAGATACCATAGGCTCTGTTACAGGTTTAGTCCGCTGGGAACTCTGCGAAGCCTGCTCGTACTGGTCGAAAATCGAAGTCATTTTGATTGGAAAATGGGTGTTGCTGCAAACTACTGGAACTTTAACACTCGCACTTGTTTAATATACACTACATCTGTTACAATCGCTACGACTGCTAGACTATGTTATATTCAATATTTCTGTCGTTTTTATTCGTTTATGATAACAATAGCATCGAAGTATTAAACACAAAATTCGACGATGTCAACAAAATATTTTAATGACATTGACATTTGATACTTTTGTCAATAGTAAAGTGTCAAATAAGTTAAAAACGTTTCCCTGTACAAAAAACTGCTCTTGAAATGTTGAACTCCATATCCATATTCCGATATGTTACTTATGTAATAATAAAGGAAACAATAAAAAATATTGTATTTGAATTTTTAAGTTAACAAAAAAAAAATTGAAATTATTTATTAGAATCAATTGCATTTTTTTAACGAAACCCTACTTTCTATGCAAAACGGAACGATGACCGTAGAAACGTCATTTATCTTTTCAATTCAAACTTGTCAAAGTAAATTTTAATGCGGTTTGTTTAGAGTTACTGAAAAATAGCTCTTAAGTTTATCTTGCTATGGTTTAGAACCAAACGACATTAAAGTTATTTTAGCTACAAATTAAACGTAAATAAAAAACCTGAGTTTATTGCAATCTTGTAACTTTAATCAGTGTTTGGATAAGTATTTAACTGCATCATTATAATGAGATTCAGTACAGTACTGCGTGTTACTCAGCTTGTTCGTTGACTTGAAACCCGTGACATAATTTCGGGAACAGGTTTTTGGAAGTTGGTGGTATAAAGTATGTTTGTGTGACCTTGCTCTTTATCATTATCATTCGTATCGTAATTCGGACGTCAACTGTGAGTATTGAGTTAGTACGTTTGGGCAGTTTCAGTGATATAACATCAGTATTCAGTCCTTATCAGCATTTAATAAAATGGCTACGAGATCGCTTCTAAAAACTACTAAATTAGGCGGTAAGTACTTTCTCAATTAAATATCCCTATATCTATTCTTTTAAATGACTTTATGTGTAGTCAGTTAATTGAATACCGAATGTTAATTTATTTAACTTAGCACATTTGTGACCACAGATTATGCAGTGATTACCTACATTTATACAAAAAGTTGTGTGTGACTGTGATGTGTATTTAATTTCCCTGAATGTTTTAGTTTATTCAAGACAATGTCTGAAGACACTGGGTCAGCAGCGTACCTTCACAACGAAGCTAACAGAACAGCAACAATCCATTCAGGAACTGGTCAGAAACTTTGCTGAACAGCATTTAAAGCCTAATGCAGCTAAACATGACAAAGAAGCTCTGTTTCCGTTTGAACCTGTAAGTATTACCTTAATGTTTACAATTTTATAATGTAGAAAGAAGGTTGTATACTTTTATACATCATCATCTTTATCATCATCTGTTGATCTATTGTCTATGACAGTCTACTGGTGCATTAGTTATGTGTCTTCTCTACATTCTGAAATAATTTGCCGTAGTATTCAAGTATTTATTGCATCCATAATGTACACATACAGGATAGGCAAAGCAACATTAAGTAATAATCTTGGGCCCTGTTGGGCACATCAAAATACAATCTCCATGCTTAGCACACAAGTTAGAGATCTCAATTAAAAAGTTTCTGTCAAGTCGACATTGTCCTCTACCTAACATTTTTTTTTCAAGGCTTATAGTAAAGAATCAATGTCGTCACATGATACAAAAATAAAAGTATACCTACAGTTAAAACTTCCAGCCCCAGCCTCATAGAAAATATTTATGTAAATGGATTAAGATTATTCCTAAAAGGTTGATTGATAAAATATTTCGATTCTGACATAACATTATCCATTATCATATCTGTGACATATTGTCTTTGATTGTGTGTTAAGATCTATATAAAAAAAATGATAAGACTGATCACTTGAGGGGGTCATGTCTTATATACTCTGTAACTCTACCAAACTGTCTTTGTTCAATTAATTTGCTACTTTATTTCAAAATGTACAAAGTTTAAAATATGTATATGAAAAGTTTTACAGTTTGGACACCTTGAATGCATCTGTATTTTGTTTTGCTAAAGAAGTCTGATTAATAGAGTTCATATAAAAAATACAATTCTTTAATCACCTAAAAATTTGAAATGAGATAAGAGCTTGATAGCATCACCCATTTATTTTTATGTAATGTGTTGTCTCATTACTTTTTAAAATAAAAGTACCAAATGTCACTACATGAAAATAAAAAAATGTTTTTAATATTTTAATTACTATGGGTAATTTCTAATACTTCGATTATTTGGTTAACAAAAATATTCTTGGTCCTTTTATACGACACGACCTCGGAACCGCGAACTGAAGGACCAGTTTCTTTACATTAAACAGAAAACTTATTTATTTAAATACTTTCACTTTGTTCATATCTTGCGCCTGCAATAAGGTCAATTATAATAATAATATGAAATTATGACGTTTAAAGAAAATGGAAAACAAATAAAGATATATATATAATCAATAACATGTTTGTTTATTTTCCATTTTCTCTATTACGTAACTGTCGCTGCCTATCCCTGTTAGCACATAGCGCGATTGGCGTATATAACGTAAAGCGATAAGGTACCGAGTTGATAGATTATCTTCAAATAACTGTTTCTTTCAAATAACTGTTAAATATGATAAAAACTAAACATGTCGATAAGACATACATGCTTTATGGTCGATGGATCGTGTGCATGATTGCGATGTCAGATTCGATTCCCAGATCAAGCTTATCTAAAGGGATTTTTAGCATAGAATGTAAAATTCCGCATACTATGTTTAAGCTAAACATTATCATGAGTTGTAAATGCACTCCTATGCAACTGATAACATTATCATTAAAGAAAGTACTGTCCATCTATTCTTATATCACACATTAACTGTTTATTGTTTTACTATCTTACTGCAGTAGTTAGTTAAAAACTTTATTTATAGAATCTTATCTTTTTGCATAACATGACTAGAAGCTTAGAGAAATGTAAAAAGTAGTAAAAACTGCTTTTAACCAGTTGTCCTATCAGATTTATCAATGACATTTGTGATAGGTGTAATCACCTTTGCGCCCTAGCTGGAAAATGATTTGTTATACATCAGAAATAAAATAACAACATATCTATCTCAATAATATACTTATTATTACTATACCCGATCGCTGTAATATCGTTTTTGCAACCCTGGATATCTAAAAGCGAGACGTACTAAATTTAAACTCTATCTGATTCGTCTAGCCCGGTCCCTTTAGTCGGGCAGAGTAGCTTAAAGTCTCAAATTGCGTCTAGTGTTTGGAAGTAGGTTTTACCTTCATTACAATGAAAGTTAAACATTAACAAAAACTGGCAAAACGTAGGTTAACCAAAAGGCTCCATCTGCCTTTTAGGACAAAAACCCTAGTGCTATATTATAGGTAACATTTTGATTGATAAAATCTTTAATTCGATAAAAAGTAAAGGAATTACATATGTATCTACTTACATACTCTTATCGTTTCATATGACTGTTTGCACGTTTATGACGTCAGCATGTCAAAAAAATGCACTGATTTACTATCAAGTTTGAATGTGTTTTATCAATAATATAGAAATCCCTTCTCGAAGGTCATACGAAATAATAAGTCTGTACATTTTATTTGAAAATAGTAACGACAATTATTTCCCGTTATTAATTACATGTACCATAGCTATTTGGAGCGAACCATTGGGCCCAATTTTAGACTTGACAATTGCACCATCTCTTGCTCTGCAGTTGCATTTGCGGTTGCTTTACCAGCTAGCCTTTCGTTGAGCATTTCATGGCTTACCACCAGACAAACTCATCTACCTAACTAGGTACAGATATTTAAAGAAAGTAATAAAACCTATGTTCCAGATATTTTTATTTATATTATTCCTATTCCAGATCAGACAAATAACAGAAATGGGACTCATGGGTGCGTGCGCCAGCGAAGACTACGGTGGTATGGGCATGGACTATTTATCTCTGGCATTAGCAGTGGAAGAGCTGTCCCGCGGCTGCGCCAGTACCGGCCTGATCGTCTCCATACACAACTTCCTCTATCTAAACCTGGTCAATGAGAAGGGAACACCAGAACAGAAGGAGTTGTTCCTAAAGGACTTCACTCGAAACTGTATTGGGTGCTTCGCGTTAAGTGAGCCAGGTAGGGCATAATACCTTTTTTAGATCTAAATTCTTACGACGATTTTATTTTAAATAATAATAATTTAACGAGATAATGGTCAAACGTCGGACCATCAAATATATATAAAAATGGTCCCGTAAAATAATAATGCATTCATTTACACAAATATGTAGATATACAAAAAAACTTCTGCCAAAGACTTTTATTACGGCAAAAATATGCGATAAAATGAGTTTTCTATCAAAAGGACCACGTGTTCACCTACAAACTGGTCTTTTCAGGCGCGGGTACAGATGTAGCAGGGATAAGGACGAGAGCCAAGAAGGATGGTGACTCCTGGATCCTGAACGGCACGAAGCACTGGGTCACGAATGCTCTGGAAGGCAAAGCCCTCGTTACTTTCGCTACAATCGACCCAGAACTCAGGCACAAAGGACTTGCTTGTGAGTCATTAATATGCTTACATATCCTTACTATCCTTATCCTTACTAATATTATAAATCTGAAAGTGAGTTTGTTTGTTTGTTCCACCTTCACGCCATAACTACTCAACCGATTGCTTTGAATTTTTGCAGTACGTCTGCAAAAATTTAGAAGTCCGGATTAAATAATAGGGTACTTTTTAACCCGGAAAAAAATTGTTAATTCCGAGGAAAAACAAAAGTATTGGTATAGATGGGGCTGTGTATATTGGTATATGTCACATATACTACTTTTTATTCTTTTGTGACGCGAGCGAAGCAGCGGGTAAAAGCTAATTCCGTATATTACTAAAAAAAAAAAACAATAATTCTAACACAGTAACTACCTCCTTTATTGATTTGACTTTCAAACATAACATACCTCTGGTGTAAAACGTTACCGCTTTCGGTATCCTGATTGGTGTGCTCCAATAACCCGACCAATCACAGCGCTGAACGGGGTAACGTTTCGATCTCTTTAACCATAAAACAAACTCGTACTGAGCTCTTAGTATACTTTTTACCAGTTTTTATCTTCATATAGTAATAAAGTCCTCTGCGCACTGGACAGTCTCACTTTGTGTTCGTAATTTGAAAAATATTCTCCTCATCAGGTTTCCTGGTTCCCGTAGAAACTGAAGGTATCTTCAGAGGTAAAAAGGAACGCATTATGAGTGTCAGGTATGTATTACCTAAATATTCTATGTACAAGCACACACATTAACACTGCATGTAGCACAGTTTGTGTCGGGCCTTAATTATGTCTTGTAATACCTATATATAGAATTATGTATAAATATGTATGCAATACTCACATTGTCGGTTTGGGGTCCATTCTTATGTATTGGATAGCTTTTGGTCTCGTATGTCGTTACCATTAACATTTTTATTTGCACTTAAACTAATCACACAGCACAGAGATAATAGTAACTAAATTAATAGTAGTTAAATTAATTCTAATAATGAATGAAACTAAACAAATAAAAGCATGTCTAACCAAAAGCGAAAATACAGTACAGTTAATACTGGATGTGTAATTTTGCTAAAATAGTAAGTTTTATTAGTGGCATGAATAAGGGCCTGCAGAATGGTCCTAAGTGGCGCATTTGTATAACTGGGTGCTTGAATGTTGTTTAATAGATGCTATAAAAGAAAGACTTAAAAGAAACGCTTTTACGGACTGACAAGTCCTTATTCGTGGAAACGGCTAAGCCGATTTTAATCATACATGATATATCAAGGTCTAAAAAGTACTTATAACAGTTCCAAATCAGAATTTAAAGAGGCAGAGAGAGACAATTTTAACATTCTTAGAACTTAAAACCACGTCTAACGGTCAACCTAAGTCGCGAATGTTTATTTTTAGGTAGGTAGGTACACTGCACCTAAAAAACTAGCATAAAATCATTCCACAAATCAAAAGGAGCTTATAAAATAGATTTGAAGCACGTCTGACAGGGCGGCGACAGCGTGCACCGTGAAGTTGGAGGATGTCCGCCTTCCTGACAGCTACATGGTGGGGCAACCTGGTGAGGGATTCCGGATCGCAATGGAACAACTCGACCAGGCCCGTATCGGTATCGCCGCTCATGCTGTTGGTAAGTATCACGTTGTACCCGTTTGTTGCCCACCAGTAATCTATAATAACCTAAAATATAATAACCTGGTGTAATCGATAGATCTGTTTGTCCAATCGCTGTATCTATCAAATATTGAATGTCTAATGGTGTGACACTCAGTAATACCTTATTGGACAAGGAATGATACGTTCACACAAGCGCCATATGGTGAGCAAAAATACAGTTTAGCACCCATTGCATTTTCACTCGATTAAAACTAGTAGGTAGTTTAGACATCAAATCAAAATTATATTTATTTATTTATTAACACTTTAATGCACACAAAATAAGGTACATAAGGCGGACTTATTGACCATATGGCATTTTCTCCCAGTCAACCTTTGGGTTAAATGTAACGTCAGCGAAAATGGGCGTGTGTAATATGCAAAAAAACAAAATAAATAACTAATAGTAATAATAAATACTTTGTAACATACTGTATAAAAATATATAATAAACACAAAATATGTGCATAAATAACTTCATATATAATTATAATATAAATTGACGAAGACACGAACTCAGCGTTGAAGCGCCTTTAAATAAAACTACTTTAAATAATACTTATATCAAAGGTTCTTCTAGATTCCTCGATACATAAGCAGCAAAGATTATTTTTAAAGGAAAACATACCTTTAATATATTACTCCATGCGTTCTAATTTCAATTTCTAATTTCAAAACAGGTATCGCTCAATCAGCGCTGGACACAGCTATCTCGTACGCTAAGCAGAGGGTAGCATTCGGCAAACCATTAACCAGAGTGGCTTCTGTAAAGGTATGTTATAGAAAAAATGATCTTTTATCAATAAGGTATTAATTTGTTCTTTCCACTACAAGTCAGCTCTCAATTAAAAATGCAAATAAAACCTGGTCCTTTGTGGTCCTTTGCTCCGCAGCTTCCAGTTCAGTTCAATTGATATATTGTTTATCATTCAGTGGCGCTATCTAGCGCTTATAAGTATCATAACAGTACAACTCAATAAATTTTAGCATTATTTTAGAATAAGACATATTTAACATACCCATAAATGGACCTTGGACATTAATGCTTCATAATCCCCATCGGCCTCGTCTAGAAATTTCATAATTTTGACGTGTAAAAGTGCTGTTTTGTTGCTTATTTACAAAAAGAAATTCAGCATTTCATTATAATGTTCTGTAATACATTCATTTTCTCCTTAGGACCGTTTAACAGAGATGTGTATGTTAGTGGAGACGGCCCGCCTCGTCACGTACCGCGCGGCCGTCGACGTCAGTACCAAGAACAGTGCGATGGCCAAGTACATTGCTGGACGGAACGCCGCCGCTGTCGCAGACCACTGCGTACAGATTCTTGGAGGACGCGGCCTGTCCGTCAATTATGATGGTGAACGGCATTATAGGTATTTTTTTTTATTTTTATTTGAGAATATGTGTTGTTTGTTTGAATAATTTATAATCTTAAAACAATAGGAATTGTAATTCAAACTTTGTAATCCGTAAGTGTTATATATCGGAAATTTAGTTTTGGTTACCATCTGAAGTTCAGATGTAACCAAAACAAAACTAAAGTTTTGGTTACCAAAACCAAAACTAAACTTTTTCAGTTCAGATCTAACAATCAAACAACTAGATTCTGAACTTTAAAAGTTATGTAGAATTTGAGATGCACAAAAAGGCATTGCAATTTCCTGCAAATATTGAAATTTCTTTTCTTTTCCATTATTTTTTAGCCGACTTCAAAAGAAGGTGTTCTCAGTTCGACCTATATGTTGTTTGTGTGTATGTGTATGTATGTATGTATGGATGTATGTATGTAAGGATGTATCTTTGTGCGCGATTATCCAACAATTGTCTGAAGCGATTTTGATGCGGATTACAGAAAAGTGTTTGTTACACTTAAGAGAAGGTTTTAATATATTAATTATCCCACTTCCAAAAGACGGAGTTGAAGTCGGTTATTTTAAACTTAATTTATAAAAAACGTAACTATTCTTTAATTTACAAAAAAAACTCAAGTCTTTTTCTGCAACTTTCCATTGTACTTATAATAATTATCTACTATCCTTTCTCCAAACAGGGACGCAAGAGGTACGCAGATATACGGCGGAGTGACAGACATACAGAAGAGGCTGGTCGGCCACTTCCTACTAAAAGAACACGACGCCCTCTAATCATACTCGGTAACACACTCTAGTCTAGCTAATACAGGGCCTCTAGTGTACAGTATCCAGTTAGTACTTCAATCTCTCTAATCAATTCAATTTTCGACTATATGTCAAAGTAATAAAGTTGAAAATCGAATAAAGAAAATTGAAGGAAATGGGTAGGTTGATCTGCTGGCCAGTTTTATGTAGCTTACAGAAACAATACTGTTTTTTTCTTAATCGTAACCTCGAATTCGTTAAGGAAAATCTTCATTTGAAACAATAGACTAAAATTATTTTTCTTAAATAGAAGCCGTGAATTCGTTAAGGAAAAGTGTCATGCCGAAAAGAGTACTAATGTAACTAGCTCAAGTTGAGTGTTATATTATTGATGATATGAAAATAACTATGCATAATAACCATCGCCTTCTGTATGATATGTTTGTCTAATGAATTAGAGGCTCTTTCGCATCGTTAGTTCCGCGGCTTTTGGCGGCTAAGTCACAAATGTAATTAAAACGTAGTTTCTTTTTATGGCCCGTCTTAATGATACGAACTTAGGATTTCTTTTCTCTGTCAATTTTAACAGATATTTGTGCCAATTTCGATTGCATATTTTATCTTAAATGTGAATTTTCTTGCGTTATGTTTATTGTTCATTACAATACTATTTTTTTGTATCTTAATACTCTTGTCAACTTATTACATAAAATTTTTAATAGATTTATTTGGAACGTATACAATTTTGGCATAATACCTATTAATAAATAAAAGACTTAAAAGGCTAATTTATCAAAATCATTTGATTGTAATTATTTTAAAATATTTTAAAATCTTAATAATTATCATATCGTATTTTCGAGTACAACTGTAAGATGAAATAACCATGAATAGTAGAAATGTCGGAATACGAAATATTCATCACGTTGAATCATTTGGTCCAATACTATAAAGAATTTAGAATCTGGAAAACATCCAAATAATTGCAACATACATGGTGTCGAAACTATAATTAGTCGAAAATCCACTTAAACCGCCATAAAATAATTTTATTGACGACAGAAATGCGCTTCTAGCGTTAATGACTACATGGCTCTTACAGTTGTTATCTCAATCGTAATATTAAGGGCATCGCATTTATAAACGTAACCGTAGACAATATAACGTACTTAAATGGAACACATTCCATTTTTTGAATTTTCAAACGAGTATTGTTCGTTGTGGTGCTAACTTGCTAAGATTGTTTTTTTTTCGTAGCTTTTTTGTAGACGATGAAACTATTTGGTTTGTACTTATTTTTTTTAGCTTTATTATGAACTTGGTGCGGTAAGAATTTATTGTTGTTGCCTTGTTTTCGTTCTTATGGCTTTAGAAATAAGGTTGAATGTAGTTTTGTACTGTTTTCATTGGCCGCATATCGTTGACTTTTTCTTTGTGGTTTGAGTTGATGGAATTACCAAGGGACTGATTTAGCATAAATGCAAATAGTACAACTATTGAATATTTTGTCTATCGCATATTAAATAAGTATATGAATTATATGTTATACTATCCTGTTGTATATAATTTATAGGGGCCAGTATATAATACATAAACTACTTAAGTTTAAATGTTGGTTATATCAAAACACGAGTCTTCGCATAAAATAAGAAATAAAATGTTCAATATTATTATTTCGTATTGTACTGTTATTTTAATAAAAATATATTTTTGTACATATGTTTTTTATTTATTTATGATATCATATTATTATATTGTATTTTTTCTTATATTGCTTACGAATAACAATCGTCTGTGTTTTAATATTGGTCCTTATTTACGCAAAGGACCAAACATTTTTGGTCCTGAGTTGAAACTTATTTTAACAAGGTTGTCAAAATTATTGGGTACTTACACCTAATAATTTTGACAACCTTGTTAAAACAGTATCTCCATAATTGGTACTTTTCGGTGCTCTTTACAATCAAAATGTCATAATATTATGACAGCTGTAAGATAGTCGTAAAATCCGTTGTTCCCCGGAATTTCAATCATCATAAAAATGCATCATTTAGTCGCCGTTACCCTATTTTGTTCCAAAATACCACTGCAGTCATATTTACCTGGGTGACCTAGTTCACTAGGTTGATAAGCGACCTATTCAGTTTTTTTATTGTTTAGTATTATTGTTCTTTTACGTTACAATAATTTTTTACGCTTTTAAGCAAAAGTGCACGCGATGGTCAAGGGAGGTCCCTCGAACCGCGTTTGTTAATTTTAAACCTATTAGTTTGGTTTGGTATCTATTAGTTGATTGTGATACTCTCAATCAATTTTAACTCAATTACAATAGTCATAAAGACTAAAATTTCTTAAGATCAAACACTACCTGTGCGTTGTTAATGGTGTCACATTATATCGCAATATTTCGTTCGACGCAAGTCATTGTGGTCAATGTATCTCGCATTACGTCTACCTACGACACGTCTCGGATTATTCTATCATAATACTTGCCTACGAGCTACACATAGTTACTGGTTATCAACTGGTTCACTCGTTACGTGCCTCTCTTAATAACACCTTTTATCTATTCTTTATAATAAATTAGTTTCATATTTGTCTACGTTAGTAAAATTCTTCAAAGTCTCAAAGACAAAAAAGTTCGGTTACTCGCTATGCTTGAAGAGAAAATCCATTATAAAGTTTCCTTGCGACAAAAAGAAAGAATTTGACGTGGTATTTAATTTGTATCATATACTTCAGAACGCAAAGGCAACCCGTCCTTTATCCCTGCTTCACTGAATATAACTAAATAGATATCTATCTATCTACCTATAATACGCAAGATGAGGTAGATTGAGTTACCTTGCGGAAGTGCCATGGAATGTACCGAGGCATTATTGTTTAACGTATTAGCATGTTACAAATACCTCCCTTCAAAGGACCGATAGCTTTCATATTAAAGGACCATGAATCACAGGAGTTCGTATTAATCTCCATTATCTTAGTGTGCGTCATTTTCAGCGATGTACACACACAGAGGCGCTGCCGATAAGACAACGATAGGGAAACTTATCATTCCACCGCGATTACGAGTCGAACGCAGATGGGCTTGTGTCATCGTTTTTAAAAAGTAAAAATGCGCGCCCTTTGTTATTTGACGTTTCTATTTTTCATATTTAAAAATGGATGTGCTCAAGACGTTTATGAAGAATTATTGAATGAAGAAGTGTTGAAATTAATACAATTGTGTGAAGTTTGTACGTGCAGTGAAATTCCGGATATCGATAGGACTCACATAGTGTTGTATGTTCAGTGTTCAGAGTTTGATAGGATCGGTAATGTTGCTGACCTAGACAAGATCGCTTGGCCATTGAATCCGAACGGATTGAAAATATCGGCAACGTTCGATGGACTGGGATTGTCAACATTGGGCAAGTAAGTAACCGTTACATTCATCTATTAAATGCCTAGACCAACAAGCTTAACTAAGACCGTTAATCTTCTGCCAAATTGGTAAGTTCTAGCAGCAATGAACGTGGGCGTAATCGGTCTACAACGTTAGGTCAATGTTCCAAATCTTATATCGTTAAATTCACGAGTTAGAAGCTCGAACTAGTAGGTAACATAGATCAAAATAGTTAATGGTCCTTTGGTTCATCTCTGATCACTGACATCCCAGGTGTTACTGATACTGACAAGAGCCACTTACTAAACTAAGTACTTATTGAATAACTCTCTATAAAATCCTTTGAACCATGAAAATTTCCCTTTTCATCCATTACCTTTCCTTCAGGTACGCCTCCAGACTTCTGGACAAACCTGACCCTGACGATGCGTTATGTTGTCCTCACCTTGACAGCTTATCACGGTGCTATAATAAAACGCGAGGCACATTATATTAAAGGACATTGAATTTTTGTTTACATACCAAGTATCTTAATCTTTGTTTGCATGAGCTCTTTTAGGGAAAACCGTATCAACTAGCTGAGTACTTGCCGGTAGATAAAAATAAGTACATCATCGAGACAACAGTTTAATTAGCGAATATTAATTAAATTCTTAGGTTTTAGTGAGTTTAGTGACCCTTTGAAGCGTTAGTGCGAAAGTAGAACAATTCTTCGTCGGTTAAATAAATATGCATAAGTACCTAATTATACAATAACTTAATTTTAGTAAACGTCGACGGCACTTGCAGATTAAATACTCAATTAAAAATATTATTGACTCATTGCACTTGTTGACAAGCAATTTCTTCGTAACAAACAATAAGTACTTACCTAGATTAGATTACAAATGAGAAGGAGACGCCTATAAAAGTTACAAAAATACTTTCATTAATAAGAACAACATAGATCAATAAATATAATTTCGAATCCAATTTTACTATTTATGATAAGTAAATGATTCGAGTAAACATTATAATTGATAAATTATACGTAACGTTATTATAATTATTAGATAGTGTTAAATTTAACCACGGTTGTGGTTTTATCAGAAGTCATTGATGTGCAATAGTCACTTATGTATTTAGAAGTGGTTTTGATATCTGTCTTGACGTGTCAGTATTTCTATGGTTGAGGTAATGCAATGCAGTGGTCCACTTTTAGTCATTATTTTCCTAAGTATCTGACCTAGGCGTATGTATGTATTAGGTAGACGATTTTATTGTTTGTTGTCGGTTATATCTGTGTCCATATCATTTGCTTATAAATAATAGTCAATTAAGAAATGCCGAACTTGTAATATGGTAAAGAGCCGTTGCGTGCCTATAAAATGGCAAAATAATCATCATTAATTAAATTAATTAATGTTGCTTACACTACACCAATACAAATTTTCCAAATGATTAATATTCTGCACTTTTTAACTTCGTCCTTGTAGTAACAACTAGCAATTTAATTTTATACTTTTATGGTCCTTTGGTACCTACCTTAGGTAAGACTTAATGTTTAATGGTTTCCATAGCAACAGTCAAATTCTTATTTCAATGTATTAATAAGTTAAAAAGTATAATGAATTAATAAGTAAGTACTTATGTACCGATGTATACTAAATACCTTGAGTCCTAGCAACGGGACATCGTCATTAAAAAGGTCTTCCGGAACGTTCCGAAATTGGAGGATGCGGCCATTGCGGCAGCGGCAAGGTCGCTCAAGACTATTAATATTAATCACTCTTGTCATTTATTAAATCTATTTTCATTTAACTTTGGGACGAAGCCTAACAATTAAGGGCAGACGACTAAAATTCGCAGTCAATTTTAGTTTGATGTTAAATAAATCTGTCTAGCCAAATACGTAGGTTGAAATATTTATTCATAACTAGGATAATATTTTCATTTCATACGAGTCCTTATTTCATTACACTGCTAAAAATAATATAGTCGTCTAGATATAGAATATATATATGGATCCTTTTTATTATTTTTGCTGCATTATGACCAAAGCAAATATTATTGTACATGAAGTTGGCCTACAATTCAGTAATGTGTTAATTCGCGTTTCTGAATTGTAGTGATACACTACAATTTGCGAATGTGCGAATTAACATAACAGAATTTCAAAGAACCCATTTAAAGTTAATTTCTGAGAATATAGCGCAAAAAGTGAATTTTTAAACCAAAGTTATAATATGAAACTGCACACGTTGCCATTGCCAACGTGGCGTTGATAAAAACATCAAACAAACAAACCTTAAAGTCGGTACAGTATTATACTACTAAAACCATACAGCCTCACTCACTATAATTAATTTAAATACTTACAGGCGAGTGCCTGTAACGGCCTCACAGAAAACCGACGTGAAACAACGCTTGCGTTGTGTTTCGTCGTGTGAGTGAGGTTACCGGAGGCCGAATTACCCCCCCTAGTCCCCGTCTCCCGAATCCCCGAATCCTACACAATCCTCAAATTCCCAATTCCCAAAAGGCTGGTAACGCACTCGTAACGCCTAGGTGTTTCGAGTGTTCATGGGCGGCGCCGATTGCTTACCATTAGGTGATCCGCCTGCTCGTTAAATTACCAGCTTATGCTATAAAAAAAAAGAAATCGAATTTATATATACGTATATTCCATCAGTCTAATTATCAGTGAAATTAAATCCTTAACACCTTTCGTTGTTGTGTAAAAAGTACTAGAAACAAACGAGTATCCTTTAATATCATTTTACCTATTATGAAGGGTCATTATTCTGTACATCGTCTGTAGATTAACCAACACATCAATCAAGCAGAAAACCGTGTCACCTGCGTTTGTTTTGCGAATCATCACGCCGCGCCGGGAAATGGCCGACTTGTACTATCACAGTTCAGACGCCACCTAGTTACGTAGTCTTTGGTGATAAAACAGTTACCACTGCGGCTTAGAATGCATGTAATTATGACACCTCTGGTATTGTGTTATGCTTTCTTTTGGACTACATGGGTGGATAACTTGGAGAACGGAGACCGGTGGCAGTGCGAATTGGGAGTCAACTCCGGCTTATGGGGGTTAATTAAAATTATCATGGTAGTAATATGTAACTCTCGTCTGCACTGCACGCATTTTTTATCTGTACGTCCTGCCTGACAGCCGTTATAAGATATTTCAAAAAGTAAGATATTTTAGTATCGTGTCAGAGTTCGAAAATTAGTGATTTCTCACGTTCGTGCCTCGGAAACGCTGAGAACACGCATAGATGTAGTGAAATCGTTTCTCGTAGAAAGACAACATTAAAGCATCAGCCTTTACACAGATGGACTATAATCGTCTTAGTCATATGAGTGTAAAGTTCTAATCGTTCTTTGTAAAATATTGACAAAAAAGGTTAATAAATTTAAAGCACTACCAAATAATCCGGATCAGTCTGGTCTTTGCACTGGCTCCGACTATTGCCCTCGGCCCACCTCATTATGACTATTGTTATCTCTTTTCGCAAATTCAACACTACGGCAAATTTCCGATTGCTTTCAACGTTTCACGTGTTTGTTTTTCATATTTACAATGTAGTGATTCTAATACTCGTTCAAATAAGACTGAGATAAAAATATTAATTAATTGTTTACTCAAGTAGGTAATTGTGTAACTGTACACAGTTTTGGCGTGATAACGTCCTGTACCTATTTAATTTTTTTTATATGTTTTTTTATATGCATTAACTAATCCTGGTTTTCCTGACAAAAGGACCACGTTCATAAAGTTTGGTCTGAAGAAAATTGGTCCTTTGGCCTTTGACTGTGGTTAAGAAACCTTGTCTGCGAATCAGTCATAATCGCGTTCTGTCATGATTGAAATTGATAGTAGGAGTCCTAGAATCTTGTATGGCAGCCCGGATTATGTCATCCACGTCTTGGTAGATGATCCTTACCTTGTTCTCTGCTTTAGATAAAACTTTACCCGATTGATGCTTCCCGAAAAGGCCCACTTTTATTAATTAATAGTTTAAGCTTGTAGAGCTGTTGGTCAGATATGTTATATCTTTAATTCAAATTGAGCAATCTACCAAAAAATGTGTTCATCTTTTTTCAGATTGCCGCCAAATTCACAAGTCGAAACGCTAAAGTTTACCAACAACGCCATAAAAGCGTACTGGCCAGATCCGTTCAGTGACGTTCCAAATTTGAAAATACTGTCATTCTCGCACAACGAACTGACGGAGATCACGCCAGACCTATTCACAAACATAGAAGGATTGGAAGATCTTGATCTGTCGCATAATAAACTGTCAGAATTTAATACTTTAGATTTCAAACATTTACGACATGTGAAGAAATTAAGTTTGTCGAGCAATAATTTGAAGAAGATTCCCTTGGATGCTCTGCAGCCTATGACGTCACTTGAAGAGCTGGACGTCAGTAAGAATGGAATCTTTGACTTGTTGCTGCAAAGAAATGATGTTGAGAATCTAGCTCGGTTAAAGAGATTGAATCTTAATGACAATAGAATTAGATCCATAACGAAGGATTCCTTCCCCGCCAATAACAGCCTGTAAGTATACCGCAAACCTTTTTAAACGCTTTTAAAGTAATTTCAGCCCTATTTTTTTACGGTGAGGGTCAATTTTAGACCTATTGTAACTGTACCTGCATTTACCGTCACTGTCAAAATTTTCGTTATACTCTGGGACTGTTAGAATTTAATTTCGTCGTCATAAGGTCGATTTTCGAACTTAAATATTAGTACTAGAGAACAGCCGCTTATAGTTTTTGTTGGCGTCTGAAGTTTATGAAGACTAATGGTTTTTGTTTTATCTCAACTAGCACTTGTAGGCATCAGTATAATACTTATTGTAGGCCCCTACAGATGGAGTTAGTAACAGAATATTTCCCGACTGAGAGATAATGTGTTTCATCAACCTGAAGACATTGGGTTTGTTATTTAAGTTCCTCAAAAGTAGACATAAATAACCGACCAGCTTTAAAGCATAAATAAACGAATTATTATGTTTTCGACTTACTCACGTAATTATTTGACGAGGAACTCGACTAGTTTCAAGCCATGCTAGAGGCTCATATTCATGAGCAGCATTTCGCGACCCGCGACGCTACAGTAGCAGCGCGACAGCGCTCGCCGCGTCGCGGGTACTAGTCAAGTTTCTCGTCAAATTATTACGTGAGTAAGCCGAAAACATAATAAGTATGTCTCACGAAAGTTATAATATAAACATAAATAAACGAATTTCTTTTCTATATTTTTCAAATGTAGAAGAGACCCCATAGACTAGCATTACTCTGTCAAGGGCAATCTTTTTACCCGACTGTAGGAAGGATGAAGGGTATTGTTTTTCGCGCGTCTCTTGTACCTTTATATACTATACTAGCAAACCCGGCGAACTCCGTTTCGCCACCAGATGGCTTCGTTTTATGTAATATTCTTTGCTATAAACCTCACGAAGCCCGAAACCTTTCCAACAAATGCAAAATCGTGGAAATCGGTTCGTGCGTTCTGGAGTTATAGCGTCAGGAAGGAAAACCAGACTTATTTTTATATGGTAGATAAGTGTAATATTATTTATTAATTGATGTTTTGTACTGCATTATTTAGTGCATGTCCGTACGTGGCTATGTGTTAAATACCCGCGTTGTTCTCAGTATTAACGTACAATCTCAACTTATACCCGATAAGTGCGTTATACCTCAAAAAAGCTACGTGCTCTATCGATTTAAGATAAATACGCACATCAAAATCAATGCCTTAATATTTTTTTATAATAACTATCGTAAGACATACTAAATTAACTAAAAATCGCGGGTTACTAACGTATACAAGTACTGAGAAAAAGTAGTCTGCGCGACATCGCCGCGACCGTGCATGAGGAAGAACTTCAAATTCAAATCATTTATTGCGAATATAGTCAAGTGTAGATGTTAGCCCTTCTGTGGTTTGAAACTAGTAGAGGTTTTCACAGTATTCTCACGTCAGTAACCCGCGATTTTTAGTAAGCCTAAATATTTATTAATTACCATACATTTTATCACCAAACATTAGTTTCTATCTTCTCAGTCTAGACCAGTAGACCATAGTTTAAACAAATATAAGTCTTTATAGTTTTAAAGAGCTACCACTGACTTATATATCGATGTTACGATAAGGTAACAATCTAAATAAACATAGGTAGGTGCTAACAAGTACCATTTTAATTATACACGTAGCTTATCTATTAGATTTACTCATACAGGTTGACCCGTTTGATAATAAACATGGCAACGGAATACTATGGTGAAATATTGCAAAAATATTATTCTTAAGACATCATAGTAATTATAGGATCACGCGTTTTAATCCCCGAAAATGCTGATGTCTACATGTAAAATGTAACACCTACTATTCACCAGCAAGGTTTGAAGTCCCTTGAAATAGGGATGAGCCATCACCATCTACCATCGATTATAACTACAGACTCTGTGCTATTTCTGAGGCCAGTTCTATAAACCGAAATACCCCAATTATTTCAATCGAACTCGACCAATGAGGTTTTCGTATAAGTATATTTTTATAGGATAAGCAGATATACGAACAGGCAGATCACCTGTTGATGGTAAGCAATCGGTGTCGCCCATGGACACCTGGAACACGAGAGGTGTTACAGGTGCGTTATCGGTCTTTTGGGGATAATAATTTGAAAACTGTTGAGGATTCAAGGCTTGGAAGGGGGGATGGATAATTGGTAGTGGCATCTTCTTCATAATTATTTTTATATCTCAACAAACCCTATTTTGTTCTTTTCAGAGAGCTATTGGACTTATCAAACAACATCATAGAAATAGTGGAAGAAGAATCCTTCCTAACCTGCACGAATTTAAGAGAATTGAACCTTGCGCAGAACAATATAACGCTGCTTTTCGCTTTGCCGCCGACGTTGCAGATTGCTATACTTAAAGTGAATACTTTATTCCATTGGCCTAAGTTCCCTAATGGTATAAAGTACATAGATCTCTCATATAATAGGCTATCAGAGTTATATGATGAGAATTCGGTCAATTTTGACAGTTTGGAGGTAATTTTTCTATATTATTTTTATAACTTTCCTAACATTATGACTCTTCCAAATCAACAATGATGACTGCACGGTTGGCGCGGTGACTGGGCAAGTAGCTGCCACGCAAAGTGTAGCGGGTTCGATTCCCGCACGAATTAACTTATGTGATCCACAAATTGTTGTTTCGGGTCTGGATGACATTGTGTATGTGAACTGGTATGTGTGTTAACGCACCTATGACACAAGTGAAAATCCTAGAGTGAGGCCACGTTCTTTAAAAAAATGAAATGAGTAACCTTAAACCTTTAAACTTACAGGTTTTAAACATCGGAGGAAACCAAATAAAAGAACTGACAATAGAAAAGAAACTACCAAGCTTATACATCCTAGACTTATCTTACAACCTCATTACAGAAATACCAAAGACAATAAGCACACAATTTTTCCCTAATTTAGAGGAGCTTCATTTAGATGGCAACCCCATAGAGGCGGTTTATTTTAAAAATATAATTGCAGTAAAGAGTTTGTATATGAATGAGATGAAGGCTCTGAGTGTTGTCGATGAGAAGGCGTTCAGTAACGTGGTTGGTCGAGCCGCAGATGAGACGGAGAATGAATTGAACTGTTTCTCTCTCTATCTCTCTAGTTGTTCCTCATTGGTTGAAATTAAGCCGGGAGCTTTTGATGGGACGTCGTTGTGTATGGTGAGTTTTCATAAATAATAATTTTATAATATAACTGCCTAGTTGGCCGAGTGGTCGCTAGTGCGACTGCCGGGCAAGAGGTCTCGGGTTCGATTCCCGGATCGGGCAAAGTATTACTGGGTTCTTTAAAAATTCTAAGTAGTAGCACGGAGTCTGGAATTGTGCCCAGTATAAAATATGGCAATAGGCTCACCCCCTATTACATGCGACTCATAACATAAATAGTGAAAAGTGGGTGTTACCCTTCGGGGATAAAAGGCGTGAGTTATGATATGTATAGTTGGTTTTTATATAGTCTACTATTTGCTCACAGTTAATATGGGGCTTAAGTGACTAACCTACTTAACCCTTTGAAAATGTTAAATAAGAGATGTCGTTAACATCTATAGTTCTTGGCACAGAAATCAGCTTCAAGTTTCAACAGTCATCTCAACGATAAAACCAACCAGGACATTATTCCATTGGTTTAAACGTCTTATCATCCTTTTGCCTTTTACAGCAGACCTTAGACCTATTATAACCTTTGTTTTAAAACCTTTTTAATACTATATTACTATTTAAAAAAAAACAACATTCGAACATGTCTTCAATTTTCAGCTGGACATAAGCAAGAACAACTTAACGTATCTACCAAAGACTTTAGTGGAATGGTCGTCAGTGAGCGAGGGTGTGAACCTGCAACACAATCCATGGGACTGTACCTGCGACATGCAGTGGGTGGTTGATGATCTACTGCCACAGATGTACGCTATGAACCAGTCGCATCTGCTGGCTGAACTTAGGTGAGCAGTAGGGAATAAAGAAATAGGATTTTTTTTAAATAAAAAAAAAAGATTTTCTCTTAACTACCGTTTGCTGGCTTGGACAAATTCTTTTCATTATTTAATTTCTATCTGACTTGAATAAAAATGTATGATTGACGAGGATTTCTACCTATCCTCGTGCAGAGTAATGAGTTTATATTGTGTGTTCCAGTTTTACTATATTTTAGTCCAAGCTTATCAACTGTAACATTTTTTTTACTGACTTTTGAGTTTTCAGAATTTGGTCCTTTGAATAACCGAATAGAGGACTTGTCATAATTGTTGATTGTGGTCATAAACTACAACTACCGAGCAAATCTTCGTTTCCTTAACCCGTCGTGTGTCTAAACGTGGATACATGCGAGACACAATGTATTGTCTATAGTGTTTCATATCGGTGCATTCAAGCGGTTAATAGAAAGCAAAGTACTATTGAGTTATTGAATTATGAATTTTAAATGCCTTAATACAAAAAAAATATATATTTATCTTCCAGGTGTGGCAGTCCTCGTGCCTTCGAAGGTCTCCGGCTGGTGCACTGGTACAACTGGACGGAGCGCGCCATGTGCAGTGAGCAATATTCACGGAGTGGGATGCATGGGAACTACATGGTAAGTAATAAAAGTACCGATCTAAGGTTTCGATGGAAAATAGACCATAAAACCACGCCATAAGATTTTTTTTACTTTACCATGCCCTTTTTTTTCCTTTCTTTTAATAAGACGTTAAAAGAGGTCTCTGAAAGAGATTAGCTTTTGTTGTTCAGTGATGTACATACATACGCTAAAATCAGCACATTTGACATTTCATCACCTTTTCCTAAAACATACGTGCCGATGATAATATGCGTAAACGCAACCTCACATCTTTTTCTCCGAAATTAATATTAATATCAACATAACGTCACACTCTTATTCCCAGTACAAGGCAGCACCTTGCACCTGTCATGAGTTCCTCCACGTAACATGAAACTACCCCATTACCAGACACTGACTATTGTCCTTCCGGGGAAATGGTATACTAGGTATAGCCACTTCCACGCGGTTTCACTCGCTCTGCTCGGTGCCTATTAATTGTAGCATGATGTTTTATAACCTCTAGCCTTCCTCAATGAATGGACTATCCAACATAAAAAGTTTTTTTTCAAATTGGACGTATTCAAACAAACAAACTGTTCAGGTTTACACAATAGTATGAGATAAAAGATAACAACACGCTCTTTACTTATTCCCCCTAAAAGGCAGCACTTTGCGCCTGTTACGAGTCGCTCCACGTAATAGGGAGCTAGCCCATTTAGCCAAACAATAACTATTATCCTACCTAATAAATAGTATATTATGAATAAGCAATTAAATGTTATTTAAATAAAATATCTTATTTCTCTTATTCCAGTTGGAACCATCAACGGAAAACAATCTACAGAAATTCAGCTCCTTAACTATAATCTTAGGAGCGTGTATCATAGTAACGTTACTGATAGCGATAGCGCTGGCAGTGTATTTGGTGAAGACACGCAAACAATACCGCGTGCGTCGCGCCGCCATGCGCAGGAAGCGACAGAGCGCCGCCGACATCAGCAATGGACATAAAGAACAGTTCACTAACTTGAATACTAGTAAAGTATAATTTGTGTAGTCGTTTTGTTTTAGGTATTTTTAGAGCGGTTTTGAAAAATTGTCGGGTGAAAAAATGATATGTTTTTGAACGTAACTCATGCAAATCCATATAGCCAAATCCACGGAACTACCATTGGATAATTCAGCGTATCTGACAAATGTGGCTTATTCAAGTTTTCGCGGAAAAATTCCGCAAAAACTCATTTTGGATATGTAAAAATGAGCTTCAAATTCTTTGAATTAACATTGAATATTAAGATTTAACCACCCCCTGTAAAACTGTATCTTTTTTATGGGATAAGCCGGGAAACAAGCAGACGAATCGCGCCGTCCATGGACACCTGGAACTTCAGGGGCGTTACCGGCCGTTTGGGGATTAGGAATTTAGGGATTGTTGAGGGTAAAGGAGCCTCCGGAAGCCTTACTCACACGACGAAACACAAGTGTTGTTTGACGTCGGTTTTCTGTGAGGCCGGTAGTATCACTCCGGTCGAGCCGGGCCATTCGTGGATTTATTACGTAAATGCGCGATCTTTGCGTACGGTAGTTTCGCGGATTTGCACTATCCTCGACGAGTTGAGTTGAGTTTATACACAGTGACGTAACTAGTTGGAAGGGAACAGAAGGGTTCAGAAGATTTCATTATAATTCCTCTCTTTTTTATTGGTCCTCCCATCCGATGAATTTGCCACGGGTCTTTAACGGTATTGTTACGCCACTGTTTATATATTTCCTTTTCTATGATCATAGCTATCAGTAAATTAAAATTATAATGTGGTCATTTCATACAAAGCATGTTGATATAAGAGGCTGCTGAGATTATTTTTTTATTTCTAAATACTTTAGTGACTCATTACACTAAAATAGTAATAGACAGCTACCGCCATGCCAATGCAAATATTAACAGCAATTTTCTGTATTATCCAATAGCTTATAAGTGTTAAAACCTCTTTTGAGTATGAAAGAGTTAATGTGTAGACCACGGTTTTATAATTTAAGGCAACCAAGTCATTTTAAATAGATATAAGATTTAAGTACAAACACCAAATGTTTAAACCAAACCTAATCTTTTATTAATTTAAAATAAGTAGTCGATACTGCGTCGTTGGCCGAGTGGTCGCAAGTGCGACTGCCGGGCAAGGGGTCTCGGGTTCGATTCCCGGGTCGGGCAAAGTATTACTGAGTTTTAAAAAAAATCTCAGTAGTAGCACAGAGCCTGGAATTGTGCCCGATATATGGCAATAGGCTCACCCCCGATTACATGGGACTCATAACATAAATAATGAAAAGTGGGTGTTACATTGTACAGTGGCATAATGTGCACCTCTGTCTACCCCTTCAGGGATAAAAGGCGTGATGTTATGTATATGTTATGTAGTTGGTACATGATTTCCTAATGCCTTCAATATTTTTTGCTAAATCTAAATTGTGCCCAGTGTATAGCATCACCGCCTATTACATGGGACTTGGATATTGATCCGTATGCTATATAGTTTTATGGTCGACTATTAGGCTGCATCAGTGGTAACGTTCCTTTTAATATCGACCAATTTTGTGCATAAGTATTATTAGAATATTATGATCTATTTAAATACAAATAAAGTTGATTTTCAAACTATTTGTGTTACCACTGATGAGCTGTTTTTGTAAGATAAATTAACTTGATGCTAAATAATTGCTGTGCAATGCTATGTTATGAGGCTTAGAGAATGTTTGATATTTGAAATAATTTGTTTTATTATGTAAATAGTAAGATTTTTTTTTAATAGATGTTATTCGCACTTTTGAAAGAAAAAGCTTAATAACTTTTTAAAGATAATTTTAATATTTAAATGAGTGAATTTCTTTGTACAAAAGTTGTTTATATATCGATTTTTTATTTGATGTAGACAAAATATGTATTAGGCAGTATCTATATAGTATAAAAAAGGTAAGAAAATAAAAATTAAATTGGTACAAGGACACACTATACTGGTTGGTTACTGTCTCTGTAATTAATGAAACTTAATTTTCTTACCTTAATACCAATTAATTCGGTAACTTTACAATGAAAAACAAAACATGAAATCAAACAGAATAAAAAAGATATATTTGTAAAATATTAGTCTTAATAAGTTTTATTGTAATATAATGAAATTGTTTTAATAAAATATTTATATGAATTGTGATGTTTTCATCTTCTCAGTGGGTTGATGATGTTACGTATAGTTCCCGGGCCGTTCCATTTGCCTTTGACCAGTGAGTTCCAGTAAATGTATGGAAGTACGTACTTGTTTATTTGATATATTATACGACGTTCTTTTGCCTGAAAAAATATAATTTTGTTCTTTAGAAGACAACGTTTGAATATTTTTTTTATTTTAACCCCTCGAGCGCCCTTATGAGCACCCGGTGGATCATAAGAAAAAATGCTCCATGCTGCTTTCTCTTTTATAAAATCTATTATTAATGTTTTGTTTTTATTTTGACTGTATTTTTTATTTCTATTGTAATGATCCTTGTTTTCGTGTGCCAATGGCCAAATAAATGCATTTTCTTTCTTTAGAGGTATTTCTTTCTTTCTCCAAATGTCACGTGTGCACCCGTTGGATCATAAGGAACGCGGACGCTCGACGGGTTAATAATTATGATGGTAGTCCCGGTGTGGGAGAGCCATGCTTCGGCACGAATGAGCCAGCTCGACCGGAGCGATACCGCGGCCTCACAGAAAATCGAAGTGAAACAACGCTGAGTGAGGTCACCGAAGGCCCAAGTCTCCCAAGTCCCGAATCCCCTAAAATCCTCAAATTCTCAAAAGGCCGGTTACCGCACTTGTAACGCCTCTGGTGTTTCAGGTGTCCATCCATCGGCGACGCCGATTGCTTACCATCAGGTGGTCCGTCAGCTTGATTACCGGCTTATTCCATAAAAAAGCTATTTAGCTGTTTAAGTGATTACAAGTGCGACTAGCGACTATCGAGCAAGATGTCTCAGTTTGATTCATGTGTCGGGTTGAGTATCTATTATTGAAAATTATTCCTATACTTTAGTCTGAAATTGAGTTCAAATTAAGCTACATGAGTGTAGCAATATCTCTTTTAAAGAAATATAATTATATCTATAGGTAAAAAGGGATTAAGAAATCACGAAACGTAATTTTTAAATGACACCAAAGGCCTACCTGATCAAAAGGAAACGTCTCCCATATTTTCTTATCATACACGAACTCTGCAAGCAGTCCTTTCTTGTATGATGTGATAAGTGGACAGGCCGCGTACCCGTTGTACCTGGCGGAGGGAGCCTTGCCGGACATTACGTCGCGAAGGTTCCGCTCCACTACGTAGCTTTGTGGAGCTGGAGAATAATAATTAATGCTCAACTATATGCTGAGGTGGAGGCCTTTTGGCATGTGCACACGCACTACAATATTACTATGAATTATATTATTTATATTTTGTTTTTTTTTGTATATTTAATTTTCTTTATATCAAAAACTTATTGCATTTGTTTCGTATTGTATGTACATTAATTTGTTATATTTTGATGATTTTTTATTATGTATTTATGTAAGTATCTGTATCTTTACTTTTCATAATCTTTGTTTGTGTGCCATTTGCCAAATAAATGCTTTTTCTTTCTTTCTTCTTCTTAATGATAAGTGATTTTCTGTCAAACTCATTATACCTATTTTGTACTTTATTGTTTTGATATAAAGTATAAATTCTAACCAAAAGTAATCATTTCCGTGGTCGAATTTTAGGCGTACTTAATCAGTTACTTTTCTTTTTATAAGCATTAACCTTTTGACCGCTATGGTCGGGTATATTTGGTACCTATAGCACAGACCTATACGCCCATTAGCCGATAGTGGTGTATGTGTTCCAAACACTCTAACTGAAATATCACCCTTCAAATTATACACCGATAAACACCATAGTACGTATTGCTTTATTTAATCTTTTGTTTTTATAATAACTATCGTGAGATATACTAAATTAAGTAAAATCGCGGGTTACTCACGTGAATATACTGAGAAAAGCTCTACTGATTTCGAACCACCGAGGGGTTCTTCCTCATGAGCAGCGTGCGCGGTCGCGGCGACGTCGCGGAGCTCACTGGCTGGCGTTGGCGCTCGCTTCGGTGTTGCTACTTGCGCTGCGAGCCTCTGTGGTTCGAAACTAGTAGAGCTTTTCTCAGTATATTCACGTGAGTAACCCGCGATTTTACTTAATCTTTTACCCACCAACAGCAGCAGCAGTTTTGCTGTTAGGCGTACACGTGCAGTCTCCCAACCCAAACACGTTGGGATACCGCCTGTGTTGCAACGTGTCCGCGTCCACATCGAGGAACCCTGCAGCATTGCTCAGCTCCCCACACTTCTGCAGACAGTACTGCGGAGCCATCGGGGGAGTCACGTGCAACAAGTTGTATGGGAAGCTTATTGTCTGGAACAGAAGGTCGAAATTTCAATATCTTTAATCTATAAGTAGATTGTAATGTGTGATTTTGGTTAGTCCCTCTCTCCGGTCGTTCCCTCATGACAGAGAATCGTGATTATCCTAGGATCAATCTGGACTGGGCGAATTGTCTACATCGGCTTTTGTCTGCGGTCATTTGCATTATGATGTAGAACCTCAATGCTGAGTTGTCCTTGATCTGGTCAGATCTTCTAGTTGGGGATCGTACTTTTGCCCTTCTCCCTTCAATAATCCCCACGACAATGAGTGTCTCAAAGTGATTCTCTCCGCGTCACGCTATATGTCCAAAATAGCTCATGATCGGCGAAGGTACAAAGTGGAGAGGTGGTCTGCCACTTCAAGTTGCGAAATTATTGAGACAGTAGTTGATTCAGAGGCAAATTAAACCTAGAAAGCACCCTAGGGAAGCACCTTGCCGATACGGAGCCGCGGAAGACTTAACGGGTTACCGGGGCTCCGGCTCGATGTGCAGGAGAAGGAACGGGGTGATTTTTAGTCAGTAAGAGTCTGCCACTACCTCCCGCCTCACCCAGGTGGAAGCAGTCATTCGATGATTTTCCCCCCTTAAAAAAAGGCAAGCGCCTTAAAAGGGCCCCTAATTTCTTTTCACCCCGTCGGCACTCTATGGGCAGTTGGGCGTGCGTGTCTTGCAGCGCCCCTCTATAACCTAGCGTACTAAACACTTGTCTGTCTTAGAGATAATAGGGCTCTGGGTTGAGCTGCTGGCTACTGTACCTATCTATTTAAGTACTTACAATATCATTAAAAATACTCATTATCATCCTGAATAATTTTAGATGCATACCTACTTTTTAATAGGTGTCGTTAAACTTTATGACTATTTTATTGGGCATTGTTTTGTCGCTACAAATCGGGAGCTTCAAGGGCTATAGGGTCTTTCCACTTTGTCATTGTAATATCAGCTGTACCGTAATCGTATCAAGGTCTAAAATACGTAATTAACCTTCGACTTATATTTTAGGACCAGTCGTACAGAGTTCGTAGAGCCATCCACCCAGGGGCGTAGCTTGCGCCGTATCAATTATACGGGGCCCCAAAACGTGCGTAAGCAAAAATTAATAAATACTTCCCAATTTCTTTTCTTCTTCTCCTCTTATAATATCTTCTGATTCACTTCGTTGCGGGAACCAAGACAGTTACTCATGTCCCTGGGACGCGCCGGACTTCAATGTTCCGGTGTTTTCATGGTTGTATCTACTGTAGATCCTGGCTTACAGGAGTTGCAGCGGTTTTGGGAGGTTGTGGCGGGCTTGTCCCATTTAAAAAAAAAAATACTTCCCAATGTTTGATTTTATTTCAGTAATTAAACAAGACAAACTTAACTAAAAGGTGGCAGAAACTTTAGAATAACTAAGTAATCATAGTCCGATAATATGTGCAGAAGAAGTTGTCCGGAATGTTTTCCGATTTTCATAGAAATTTTATGCAAAAAATCTGTTATGAGAAAGCTTTATCTTTAAAGTCAAAGCATTTATTTCAATTAAACCATAGTTTGGTACTTTTGAAACGTCAACAAATACAAAATAAATAATAGTCTGTCAGTCAGTCCGTCAGTGACTTAAGAAGGGCCCCTAAACAATATTTTATACGGGGCCCCGCCAAGGCCCGCTACGCCACTGCATCCACCAAGTCACTAATTAAATATTATAGAACGTTATTTGCTTTTATCAAAAAACTATAGGTACTCATTACCTCTCCGCCAGCTCCCATGAACACGGCTCCCCTAGGCGACACTTCTACTAGGTCAGCTCCATAGTTAGGTACGATGCCACGACTGACAGCCAGCGTTCTGATGGCATCCGCATACTTCGGCACGCCAAATATCTCCTCCGCACCCGTGTTGTACGTTATATTCGTCTTGCCTATAATTTTTTTCTGGAAAAGTGTAATGAAGATATGAAATAAGTAGATATTATTTGTTAAGCTATTTTCCCTTCCCTATATTTGACAAGGCCCACTCGAATTGAAATTTTCTTGGGAATACTTCATACGTGTTATTTTCATTGTGTTAGGTATTGCTTCGTCAGCCATTATTTACCTATTACTAGAATCTTTCCTTCCTGTTTTAGTTCCTTCCTGTTTAGTGCTAGTGGTACCTACTTATTATAGTGACACACCCCAATACAACATTATTAAATCCTTGAACCAGTATATTAGTAGGAAATATTCCTATAAAGTATAACACTATGGGAAACCCGTAATTAGAGACAGAGTAACTGTAAATATTTACTGGGAAGACTGTCATCAACAACTACCTACATGACGTAAGACTAATATTAGATCATCTTCATTTTCGCTACGAGGAACACTGCCTCGTGACTCCAGTTCTGTCATACACTTATTCATATGACCTATGAACATCCCTATACCTCCTTTCCTTAATTAATAACCTTGCAATTTTTCATAATAAATCGAATTTTATACCAAAGTCTGATATGGAATTTACTTTATCAGGTCTATCCTTAAAACAAGGGCAACTTGTTAGGATTGTTTTAAATTAAGTAGGTACCGTATCAACCGTACTGAGGTAGATACACCTCCTGGCAAGTTATCTTTAAGATATAAAGCTGCTGACTGCACGGTTGGTGCGGTGACTGGCCAACCGGCTGCCGTGCAACGTGTCGCGGGTTCGATTCCCGCACGGAACAACACTTTGTGTGATCCACAAACAGTGCCGTAACTAGCCTTCTAGGCGCCCGGTGCGAGCTTTCAAAACTGCGCCCTTGAAAAATGTTCTTACCAGGCTCTGACAACAAAATGGACAAATGTGCATGAAAATATAACTGTTTATTGTTTACCAAGTTATAGGTCGGTACTTAGTAGATGTTTTAAGACAATTCGTTGCTGCCATTCCGCCATTATATCGCGCCGGAGCTCTTCCTCCCCAAGCACTTATCTGACCTCATTGTCAATGTCGGCAGGCCAGACCGGTGGCCAGGCCAGGCCTGCACGATAGCGGCTTCCAGGAGCAGCTCCCAATCCAGCTGTTTCAGCGCCCAACGCGGGCCACATGGGGCCTGTCTGACCGGCGGGTCCGCGGACTCGGCGGACACGTCGAACCGGATATACCGGTGGTCGGAGTACGTCTCCACCTCCTCCATGACGCGCCAGTCAACGATACGTGGTGACAGAGCAGGGCTGGCGAACGAAATGTCCACCACCGACTCGCCCTGCATCCGCTCGCACGTGGGGACAGAACCCCGGTTCAGGATGACTAGGCCTGTCTCAAGGGCCCAGTCTTCCACCATCCTACCCCGGACGTCGGTGAACCGAGAACCCCAAGCCAAGTTTTTGGCATTGAAGTCCCCGAGGACACGGGGAGCACGGGGAGGGAACGGAACCCAACGACGACCAACTGCCTCAAGGAGTTGTGGAACTCGGCGAGATTTCGGTTTGGAGAGAAGTATACGCCGCGCAGCGAGCTTTCCGAACCGTGCTGCGGTTCGGAAAGCTCGCTGACGAACAAACACATCCCCGGCCTCTTTGAGCAGCCTCAAGAGTCGGGGTACCGGCGGCGGCCGACGAGATGATAGTCACCGAACCGTCCGTCCGAATACGGCTCGGAGACCACGGCGACGTTTATGGACCACTGCGCCATGCTCTAGAGCAGGAGATCCTGAGCAGCGGCGCAGTGGTTGATGTTCGCCTGGAGGAGGCGGAATGGAGCCATTATTAACAGTCCATCCCGACCTCCTTAGTGGCGGCAGCGGCGACTGCGGCGACAGTGGCGGCGGCGGCGGCGGAAACGACAGGGGCGTCGGAGGGCGTTCCTTTGCCCTTGGGTTTGGCAGGAGGGGAGCAGCCCTTGCTCCCGACCCGGTGATTGGCCGGCTTGCCAGCCTCCGCACATGCGTTGCAGTGCAGCGGGGCGGTGCACGAGCCGGTCTTGTTATCGGGCCGACCGCAGCGGAAATAACAGTCGCTGCGGTCCACCTCCGAGGTGCATTTGGCGCTCACGTGCTCCCCCACATGACAGCGGTAGCACCTCAGAGGCCGGGTCTCGAGCAGCTTGACCTGCGCCGAGACCAAGAGCCTTTTGCCCTCCTTTAGCTTTTTGGCCGCTGTGACGGGGCAGCTGACCACAACCGTGCGCAGCCCCGAGTTGTCCGGACGGATGGTGCCCGCCTTGATTTGGTCAGCAGGGCACCCTCCCGTCCTGGCCACAGCGGCCATCACCTCTTGCTCCGTTACGGAGTCGTCCAGGCCCAAAATCCTGACATCCAGGCATTTGGTGGGCCTGGACACGTGGGCCTGGTCCGAGACACGCCCTAAGCCTCTCAGCCAGGGTGTCGGCCGATGGGCCACTAGCCGCGCCGGTGACCTCCAGAAGACGGGCTCCGGTAGCGGTCACCTTGACCGCAAACCCGTGTGGGGGGCCCCAAACTCCGCAGGTGTTACCGCCCCCGTTGAGCTTGGCGAGGACGTCGCCGTAGGTAACGCCCCTATGTCAATAGGGGCGTTACCTACGGCGACGTCCTCGAGCTGCAGTGTAATTACTACAGCCGCGGTCCTAGGGGTGAGGAGCAAGGCAGCAGCCCGTTTCTCCCTGCGCTGCTGCTGCCGTCGCTGCCGCTGCGCCTTCTTGCGGCGCTTACGGCCCTCCTTGGCGACTCTCTTCGCCTCATCAGCCATTTGCTGCAACTCCAGCCTGCCGGGATGGAGTGCCTCTCCTTTTTTTGTTTCGCCCCGCGGGCGCAGGCGCCGCGAGCATAGACGACGCCGGCGCAGCCGGGGTCGGGGGCGCCGACGCCCAAAATTATAGTATATATAATTTGTTTGTATATTATGTAATATTTCGAGCAACACTTAAAGTGGATATACATTTGTCTGATGTGTAGTGAGTCGTTTGAAATGTGTTGTTGATTCAAGATCGTTTAAAAATGCTATACAGATTTAGATAGTACAGTCTGGTCATTTCTGCGCCCCTCCAGGGTCTGCGCCCTGTGCCTGGGCACCGCTGGCACCGCCCTATTTACGGCGCTGTCCACAAATAGTTGATCCGGGTCTGGGTGTCATGTGTATGTGAACTTATATGTTTGTAAACGCACCCACGACACAGGAGAAAATTCTAGTGCGGGGCAACGTTTTTAAAATTAAAAAAAAAAGGTGTAAATATAGAATCTAACCTTTCTCCAATAATCTTGCGCTAAAAACATTATCTTCATAGCAGCACCGGAACATTTACCGCCTACAACGGGGAACGTGAACAGCGCATGTCCACCTTTGAAGTTCTTTATGTTCTCCCAGGTCTTGCTGCAGTACATTGGAGAGTAGATCGTGGAGACAGGACACCGAGGGTTATCCAGAGCTTGTACCAGGCCTAACACCTGAAGGGACCAGTTTCATCATTTAATTAAAGTGAAAAGTATTTCTGCCCTACTTCTCGAATGAAAGGAGTACTTTATTCTTTTGATCAATACGTTGCAGGATCCAAGAAAATTAGTCACGTTCTTGGGACTACTTAGGATGTAATTGGGTTTCTTTGCCCAGGAGCCAGTCACTCATATGATGAGAAAGCTTCAAAAGTTAGGCTCTCAACCACAGGCCTTAGGGCGAATTTGTTTTACAACAACGTTTACAACACTTATACACAAATACAACTACAATAATGCGTTTTTGCGTTCAATCACCATTCAACGCACCAAAGGCTCGTTTGCGATCAGTATCCCGATGAGATCTTTTAAATCTTACCTTGTCATAATCATTCCTGATGCCCACAGCGACCACCATGTACTCATAGTATATTTTGTCGCCGTTCCATGTGACCACCATGTTCTCGCTGGGACAGAAGCCCTCAGCCCTGTCGTGTATCCACGTGATACTGTGCGGTAGAATGTTAGGAAGCGGCCTGTACGACTCTTTCATTTTCCTTATGCCAGCCCCTACCAGTGTGAAGGCTGGTTGATAGTAGTGTATCTGGAGAAAGATCACTAAGCTTTATAAGTATAATATCGTTTTGGCCATGGTTAGAGTCTGACAACTACCATAACATTAACCACCTAACTACCTTCATTGTGCACCATTAATGTAGTACATACAGAAAAGGAAATGATAAACATAAATAAAAACTAATAATGGACACAAAGGCGGTTTTATCCCTTAAAATGATTTCTACCAGACAACCTTTGGGTGGAGTTAGTCTATAGAAGCAAATAAAATCTCCAGGGTTCCATAAGAGAAATTCATGAAAGTTGACTCAGCGAACTCAGTTGGTGTGAAAAATAACACTTACTTCCTCACTGACTTAAGCATTTACTAAGTGTTGTGCATTACCCTACAAGGTTCCAGCATAATCAAGCAGTTCTTCAATTTGCGGGCGAAGCGCCACGCGACGCTGCAGCCGCCGGCGCCGCCTCCGACCACCAGCAACTTGCATCTATTGATCATGTCATGATATGAGAACTTTTAATGAAATCAAATCAGTTCAATCAAACGATATAACGAGAATTTAAAACAACACACAACAAGTGCCTCTCCTTTTACAACACAAATTACAACAGATCTTATCTAAGGTATATTGATACCTACGCACCAAAGGCACGTTTGCGATCACTATCCCATTGAGATCTTCAAATCTTACCTTGTCATAATCATTTATCATAATTTATGTGTCTCTAGTTCAGCCCCAAACTCAACATGATACAATGAAATTGCCAGCTATACTCTAGTTAGGTTCGGAATTTTTCTAAATGGGCCCATTTCAGCCAGGCTCACTCCAATCCTGTCCATCGATTGGAAAGTGTGTATCTATATCTGTTGTCTATCTATTAGATTTAGAAAATATGTATCGGGGCTGTATGTCTAGGGGGTTTGGTTTTATAAATTTTGATTATATTTGCTGGTTTATTTTGGTTAAGTATATCATACCTACACAAAATAAGATAAAACTTTAATTCTATTAATTAGTCTCTTGATATGGTGCTCAAGATGGTACAAGTACACGCTCTTGTACCCTGCTACCGGTACTCATGTTTACCCATCACTCATCAGGCCAATAACAATTATTTCTGCTACATAATATAGGAAGTTTCCTTATACTTACTCGTATGTTTTCTTTGTAGGACAATACCACCGGACCGCATGTTTTGTGTTAGGAGCGAGTCTTTTGAAGACTGCGCTCATATTATAATTAATTTTTATCTTTTATCAAAAATTATTCATGCCGTCATTTTTACTTCATAATTTTGAGTAAGCAACCAAAGACGTTATAATATAAAACGTTTTTATTACAATGTCTTTGTAAGCAACCAACTCGATTATATGGTGTAGAGAGGTTAAGTAATATTTGTTATAACATTATGCGTCTACAGTACAACAGACAGGGGCTGCAGCTACGGGGTGTATCATGAAAGATATCAATAAAACGTTCACATTTTTTTCAAGTTAATCTTCTCCTTGATAGGATATTAGGGACAATCGAACATGTTTCAAAAATTAGAGCTGGTCCAAAAATAACGATATCTTCTTACCCCTCTAGACATACATTCACTGTAGACATATTCTGATTAATGGACAGGATCAGTGTAACCTAGGCTAAAGTGGGCCTACTTATAAAAACTCCGAACATTACTGTCACTTTTTTTTAAGGGGGGAACATCATCGAATGACTGCTCCCGCCTGGGTGAGGCGGAAGGGAGTGTCAGACTCTTACTGACTAAAATCCACCCCGTTCCTTCTCCTGCACTTCGAGCCGGAGCCCTGGTACGTTAGGTTCTCCACGACATTACTGTCAGACTAGGGATGAAAAGAGGTTTGGACCAGATCACTAGACAGACCACCGGAAGCGAGGGTCGCTCGTTGTCCGATTATGTTATGTATTTTAGAGAAAAATTGCGAAAATATGATCTCTCTACTAAAAAATATTTTTGTTGTAATAAAAGGAATATTATTGTGGTATTTGGTTTCTTTTGGATGTCCTATTAGCTTATCAACATGACATAACGTTTTCAGATTTTTAGTAGGCGCACCAGGGTGCGATGGCCTTTATTACGTTCTAAACAGATGAACCCCATTTCAATTGCAAATTGCAATTCGGATGCAGCTTGAACGCAGTTGATACGACTGCAATAGAACTGCAATCAGACTGCTTGTTTGGTTTGCAACCGTTTGGTCATGGCTACGACAGAACTGCAATCGGACTACACGTTTGGTCTGCAGACATGTCCCAACTGCATTCAAACTGAATCCAAACAATTTGCGGTTGGATTGCAATTGAAATACGGTCCGTCTATCTAGAGCCTTACAACTTCTACTTTATTATATTGAGATAAAGTCAAAAATCTAATGTTCAGTTTGTCAGATTGAAGTAGGTTTATCTGTTGGCCACTACATTTCTGGACAGTAAAATAAAACACAAAGAACATTGTATAACATTTATTTATAACAATATAACCAATGTATACAAAACCTCTTTATTTACACATTAACATTATTTTACATAAGGGAAATCGCAGAGTAACTGATTTGCACAAACATTACTTGTATTTAAAAAAAAGGAAAATAAGAATACGAAATCACAGTATAATATATAAAACATGTTTTTACGTCAATTCCACGTTAAACAAAGATGAATTCTCATTCTAATATATATTATATATTCTTATTCTTCTCTAAAAACATATTCTAGAAAAGTTAAGTTCATAACTCATTGAAATATAAGTAGTACAGAGCCTGAAACTCTTTTTAAACATATAATACAGTTATTCTTTTAAATTAAAACAATTCATTAAAAAATGTAAATATATTACTATCAAAAATATATCTTCCCTAATTGTTGTCGTATTGCAAACACCTCTTACAGGTTATTACGCTTTTAACTTCAGCTGTAATATGTACTAGACAATGAATGAATTCATATTACAATATATTTTTGCCTACCAAATATGTATAACATACCCAAAAGTGGATAAGTTGTTTATATAAGCTATCCCATATACAAAAACTTGGCTTATTTTTTATGAGTTAAGGGAGTAAACAAGCAAATGGATCACTTGATAGTAAAGAATCGGTGCCGCCCATGGACACCCGCAACATCTGGGCCTTTAGCCAAACGCCACTTTAGCGCTTGTCTACAGAGAGAGTAGAAATCAAAATGTATGGGGATGACACTGACAAGTGTCAAAGTTTACGTCAATTCCATATAATTTGGTTTTGGTAGACAAGCGCTAAATGGCATTTTGGTACAGCTGCTGATGAGCGGCGTAAAGCTCCGCATATCCGTAAACAAGGCCTAAAGTAACGCGAGCGTTTTAAGGGCCACCGGTAACGTTACTCACATGGCAAAGCACAACGCAAGCGGTGTTTCTCGCCAACGCTTTATGCACTCAAAGACTTCGCACATAGTTACCTACTGATCTCAAAGCGAATAAACTGAAGAGGTGTATAATGAGCACTAGGTTTATAGTTCCATAAAAAATAAACTTGTGAAATAGCAGGCGACGCTTTAAGCGCCACATACTATTTATGTTACTCTTAAGTGTTATATCACTACATTATAAGGTGACAACCACTTAACGACATCATAATTACTACGAAACGCCATAAAAACTATAGAGCTAGAGATTAGAGCTGTGTCGATCACGATTGATCGAATCTTTTTGATTCGATCGCAACCTGTGTCCGAGTGATAGAATCACGAATCTCAAAAGCACCCGATCTTATTTGACTCGATCATCAGGTAACAAAATAAACCAAATTGAACTTTATTTTCATACTATTATGGTAACTAATTGCGTGCTCGTACAATCGATTGGGTCGTGCAGTCAATGACACAACACGACGTAACAAGCCAAATGTCTTCTATCTCTTTCGTTTACATACATGATATTGCACTTTCATTCACCTCACTCTTTCTCCAAAAGAAACCGGTTTGTACAGGATCGCTCGCGCCGCTGAGCCGCAAGCTATCGATCGTGTGTTTGAATTTTGTTTGAAGAGATCCGATCAGTTGCACTAGTAACTTATGACCCGCGAGTCGTGACACGAATGTGAAAATCGGATCGCAATATTCAGGTGTTGTTTTGTTTGCTTGTTTTAGTGGTTTTTAAGACATTATATTGGGAGTTTTATTGTTTATTGAATGGTTTATATAATAAGATTTATTCATGAGGAATTTAAAGAGCTATAATAGATATCGTTTTAACGTTTAATAGCTAGTTTCATTTCAGCATACGTCAATCGGTTACCTATTATAAATAAACGAACTGCGACCCGAATGATCGAATCTTTTTAACCCGATCATCATACGAGTGGGTCATGATCGACCCGGGTTACGACAAATGATCGATCGACACAGGTCTACTAGAGATACTTGACATCTGTCACTTTGACATATGTCAATGTGACGTTTAATCTATATTTTTTTTATACATAACACGTAAGAGCCTAGTCGAACGTGTATTCGATTTTAAATCGATATTTGAATGTGTACATATTTATATAGATGTCATATGAGACACTAAGTTCTTATAATCACTTCGAGCTCGTAATACCTAAATGTCGTTAGTACTTAAGACTTTTCGAATGGGTGCATTAGTTTCCTTATAGTCTCCGGCCCGTGATAGTATCCCCTCACCATCAAGTGCCAATAGATGGCCGGGAAAAGATATTTCTTCATGTAGAACGCCGTCACACTTTCTGTAGCCTGTTGACAAAAAAAATGTTGAATCGTTTGAGATATACCTATCTATCTATTTAGCAGTGGATGGAAACGGGATGATTGTAAAAGTTTGTAATTTCAAAATATCAATCATCAATCAGCCCATAAATACCCACTGCTGAGCAAAGCCTCTTCTTACACGGAGAAGGTTTGAGCATTAATCACCACGCTTGCTCAATGCGGGTTTGCGATTTCAAACTTATAATTAGAAATTATAAGTACACGTTTCCTCACGATGTTGTCCTCCACCGTTTATCAATGGTGTCTAAATAATCTTAGAAAGCACATATAACTCGGAAATTAGAAGAGCCAAATCAAAAGTAACCGACGAGCATGCATGAAAAGATTGATGACCGTTGATGAAGCGAAAGAGGTATGTAGGTATCGTAGTAATTGGCGTTCCATAGTCCTCTATGGGAGACAGGCTTATATACAGTATATAACTCGGAAAAGGTCACACTGGTTGCCGTTGCCTTGGTAGGTTGGTAGGTTACGAGCCCGCACCCTCATCCGTGAGAAGCGGGCTCCTTAGACCTCCGGGCCATCACCATTTTTAAAATGTCAAACGGAGGGTTAATAAACAAACAGATAAATAAATATAATTATCAATTTTAAATTCTGTTTTATGCACCGCTTATGTATATGGATATAAGTCAGGAAGAAAAAACATATTGCTGGGCCATTTAAATACTTTGCTATATACATGCGACATAATATTATGCTATATACATTTTAATAAACCTTGCACCTTGTTTAAAGTATGGTTATAACAATGATATATTTACCTGGTTAAATGGCATTGTTTCATGAGGTACGCCGCCGTAGAGGAACTCTGCGAGTATGCAGGTGCTGTATGACGTCAGCAAGGGACAGGCACCGTAACCGTTGTACTTGAACTTAGGCTCGTCCTTCTTCATCGTGGCCAGAAGGTTGTGTTCCACCACGTACGATTGTACGGCTGTACAATCAAAATTGAAGGTTTAAATATTGTAAACTAGACTATATTACGAGTATGTTAGCTATTACCGAACATTTTTTATTTTTTTTATGGCATAAGCCGGTAAACGAGCAGACGGATCACCTGATGGTAAGCAATCGGCTTCGCCCATGGACACATGGAATACCAGAGGTGTTAGTGCATTACCGGTCTTTTGGACATTAGGAGTTTGAGAATCGTTGGGGATTAAGGAATTGGGGAGGGTAATTGGGCCTCCGGTAACCTCACTCACACGACGAAACACAACGCAAGCGTTGCTTCACGCTGGTTTTTTGTGAGGCCGTGGTATCACTCCGGTCGAGCCGGCCCATTCGTGCCGAAGAATGGCTCTCCCACACTTTATTTGACTTTTTAGGTTGTAAGGGAGTATTTTATACGTAACATCACGCCTTTTATCCCCGAAAGGGTAGGCAGAGGTGCACATTATGCCACTGTACAATGTAACATCCACATTTCACTATTTACATTATGAGTCCCATGTAATAGGGAGTGAGCGTATTGTCATATATCAGGCACAATCCCAGACTTCGTGCTACTACTGAGAATTTATTAAAAACCCAGTAACACTTTGCCCGACCCGGGAATCGAACCCGAGACACCTTGCCCGGCAATCGCACTTGCGACCACTCTGCCAACGAGACAGAGGAGTATTTTATAGTGATGTTAAATTACTTTTTGCCGCCATAAAACACTCTTTGACCAGCTTATTTTGTTATAGAGTAGAAAAGTGATTGAAACAACAATCACCAAACTACGTAGGTATCATTGAAGCAATTTGGTGATTGTTTCTACACTGTATATGGTAGGTGTTGTACCATTACACCGCCAAAAGAACTGCACATTTGACTGCACGGTTGGTGCGGTGGCTGGGCAACCGGCAGCCGTGCAACGTGTCGCGGGTTCGATTCCCGCACGGAACAACACTTTGTGTGATCCACAAATTGTTGTTTCGGGTCTAGGGTGTCAGGTGTACGTAAACTTGTATGTCTGTAAACGCACCCACGACACAGTAGATAATTTATGTAAAGTTTATAAAAAAAAAACTTACCGATAGCAGCAGCTGTTTTACTATTCGGTGTACTGGTGCAGTCTCCGATACCATAGATATTGGGGTATTTAGTGCTCTGTAGCGTAAACTTATCTACGTCCAAGTAGCCGTTCTCGTCCACCAACTTCTCATTAGTTCGCAGGAATTCCGGCGTCTGCATTGGTGGCGTTACGTGTAGCATCGAGTAGTTCATTACTATGTCCTGTTTTGAGAAATAAGTTTAAGATATTTTGAACCTTATGACATGTTTAATAAATACTTACTATATTTAACTAATACGGTAGTTGACAACTAGTCAAATTAAATACGTCAAAAACGATACTGTTCTATGAATTTTGTACGAAATACTATCTTATGACGTCATCATATTTTAGCGTCAAATATATCTAAAAAAAATGGTACAATAAATCGAAAATTAAGTATATCAGCAAATCAATGAATGTAAGTGTAACTATTTTTCAATATATAATTGGACTGAAAAATCAAAATAATTTATTTTTGACCCAAGAAACTACCCAATTGTGATTTGGTTACCTAGTGTTACTTGTTCCGTTAATTGTTAGTGCAGTTGCAACAAGCATATCTATTAAGACGTGGATTTTAATTTTGAGTTATCGGTTTGGAAATTGTCATTGAAATGATGTAAAGTGACTTTACACTCAGTGCTTATAAGTAACTTCGCCTGCTATCTTTATTAATATGAGGACTTAAGAATCTAATTGAACATTTCAAAAAACCAAGAGTTATTAGTGACTTGCAAAAAAGAACCATTTCAAAGGAATACAAACTCTATACACTACAAAATAAGGTTGAAAGTAACTCTTACCTCAGACTTATCTTTGTTAAAGAAAACAGCCTCTTTCTTCTCCGGTCTGACCTCTTTGAGTACAGTCTTATAGTTGACGTTGATGTTTTTCCGTTTCACTACCTTCAAAAGCTCCTTCGCGTATTTTGGAACGCCGAAGATAAAAGGCAGACACGTGTTGTAGTATATGTTCGTTTTTGACCGGACATTTGTCTGGGAAAGAACGAAATATTTAGCATTAATTTACCTATATTAATACAAATGGATTACCAAAATGAATGTACGCCCATAGGTGTCAAATGACTGCATCGAATTGGATAATAATTTCTGTAAGGGCTATCCATAAAGTACGTCACACATAAAGGGGGAGGGGAGGGGGTCGAAAAAATGTGACATGGTGTGACAACTTGACAAGGGATGGGAGAACACCCTACGTTTCGTAACATCATATTTCGAAATCTATAAATCTAAAGGTTATACGCGTAATTTGCAATATTAGTTAAAGTAAAAAATATATCAAACTCTATCTTTATGAAAATACGGTTTAAATTGTTTTGTTGAAGAGTCCACATCCGATATAGTGACAAGCGCTGATATAACGTTGATTTCATAAAAAACTTATTTTGGGACTTTTAATTCAGGTAATAATTTTTTATTCATGAGATTCACGTGACGTACTTTATGGATGGCCCCTTAAAAATAGATAATAAAATATTTATTATCACCTATGTACTCAATGGCGTCAGAATTTAAAGACAGCTACGAGAAACCATAAATCTAAGTTTTATTAACAATGAAAATAACTGTAGAAGCATCCATGAATATTGACTTGAACTTTGGAAGAACGCCATGGCAATTAAATGCATGTTCAAAGTCCACAACTATTAGATGAGAGAGGAGAAACCGTCGTTAAAGGTACTGTTGCACAAGCTCTAAAATAGCTTGCGTTCTATTGAGAATGCTCAAAAATGTTCGAAAATCGAACGCTTGTCAATTCGCAAGTATAGCCGAAATGAGTAGGTAAATTCATTCATGGTCCATTTTGACCAAAATTCCGACACACATGCTATTAAGTGACAAGTAATCAATTGAAGCAGGCTTTCGTGCTTCAACTTAGCATATGCAACAGGTTACAGACGGACGTACTGACCTTATTATATATCAATGCTCAAGTTACAAGAGCCAACGCTATATTTTGTAAAAGATTGTGGCGACACATGTCACAAATCAACGGATGACGTCACAAAAATCCTACATCGCACATGCAAAGTAAAACAAGCGAATAAACATGGATGGAAAATCCCAACGAACAACTGTTGGGCAGCAAGCCCGCCAGGCACGATCACCTCGCCTGGTCGGAGGATCCTCCTTTTTCGACCTTAGGGAACTATACTCTCTGTTCCCTAAAAGATCTATAGAAACACGCACTCCAATATTATCAAACAAGCTAATGCTACATCAGATTAACTTATCAATTTGATAAATAAAATTATTTTACATTTTTTATATTTATACTTCCTACCAAATTAATTTATAGACAATTTTACGCTAGCAGAACGAGCTCTCAGTTCACGTCTTTGTACATTAATCGGGGACAAGTAATCGCGGATTACTCACGTGAATATACTGAGTACAGCTCTACTAGTTTCGAGCCACAGAGGGGCTCTTCCTCATGAGCAGCGTGCGCGGTCGCGGCGATATCGCGCAGCCTACACCGCGTAGGCCGCTAACCGGCTATTTTAGTTAATGTAGTATGCTCACGATAGTAATTATTAAAACAAGTACTGCAATGTTGATTTTCCTCATATGAAACATTCAAGACATTGAACATACTTAGAACACACAGCTGGAATCGATTCAAGTAGCTACTATAGTACTCACTCACATTCCCAGAATCATATTTTATATATATAAGTAGATAGATATATATTCAAAGACAGGGAAACATTGATAAACTTCCTTCTAACATTGAATTGTGTGCATTGTTATATGAAGTTCTAATAATAGAATCGCAACATTACATCATAATTCAATCAGTTCAACGGATGGTACAAATTGCTTGACACTGCAAAGTCTAATCCCGAATCGAGGGTTCCAGAACGTGTTGACAGAATCTACACACATACATAACATTACGCCTTCTATCCCCAAAGGGGTAGGCAAAGGTGCACATTATGCCACTGTACAATGTACCACCCACTTTTCACTATTTATGTTATGAGTCCCATGTAATAGGGGGTGAGCCTATAGCCATATACCGGGCACAATTCCAGACTCCGTGCTACTACTGAGATTTTTTTTAAAACCCAGTAATACTTTGCCCGTCCCGGGAATCGAACCCGAGACCCCCTTGCCCGGCACTTAGTCGCACTTTGCGACCACTCGGCCGACGAGGCAGACAGAATCTATCCTATATTATACTGATGATCATGAAATCCTGATGTATCATTTTTGTACAGATCAAACTATACTTGAACTGGAGCAGTTAAGAAACGTCTCAAACGTAACTCTGGTATCTAATTGATATCTAGAGTCAAGCAAGCAAAAAGCCAGTTCGGTCAAGTCCGGTGTACGATTTTTAATGGCAGTTACAAATGCGCGTTAAGATTTAATGTAATGAAAGCAATACTATAATGTTTGTATAATACTCTTTTAGACAAACATACATACAAAATTATGTAAAATAGCGGGTTAATCACGTGAATACACCGAGTGAGTTGCGCGACGTCGCCGCGACCGCGCACGCTGCTCATGAGGAAGAACCCCTCTGTGGTTCGAAACTAGTAAAGCTTTTCTCAGTATATTCACGTGAGTAACCCGCGATTTTACTTAATTTAGTATGTCTCACGATAGTTATATAAAAACATACATACAAATTGAACAACAATGGTCAACAATAAAGTTCGTAAAATAAACTAAAGGTCAAAGAAGATAAAGTATGTACTTATTGATGCCGAGAACGTTTTTGTTAAGGACGATTGAATGTGGCACGGTAATGCGCCGAGCCCGAGCTTTACGTTTTGCGCAAAAACCTTGAATAAAACACGCTAAGTAAGATTCAACAAAAATAAATTTATTTGTTTATGACACCATAACAACAGAGGGGTTCTTCTTTATTTCTTCCTTATTAGAGGGGTTTTTTTAAGGGGGGAAAATCATCGAATGCCTGCTCTTGCCTGGGTGAGGCCGGAGGGAGTGTCAGACTCTTACTGACTAAAAACCACCCGTTCCTACTCCTGCACTTCGAGCCGGAGCCCCGGTAACCCATTTTATATACCCGTTCGGTTCTCTATTGGGCACCCCCAATAGGGCTGATGCCGATACGGAGCCGCGGAGAGGGATGGGGATCCGTGGTGGTCTGATGGCTCTTTGAGTCGCGCCGTACGCTCGGGTTATTAGAGGGGTCTCAGTATATTCACGTGAGCAACCCGCAATTTTTAGTTAATTTAGTATGTTTATAATATTATACGAAACGTGTAAACATGAATAAAAGGTAGACATGAACAGAATGAGTATTCTATAATGAATGAATAAATACATGGATTGTTACTGTAGCAGTACATGTCAAAATTTTAATCAACATCCATTCAATTACTACTATTTGTTTTCATTGGCCTCTTGTAGACTGCGCGTTGATATCTGGTGTTATATATATACATTTATTATAACAACTGTATCCTGACTTCCCCTGATTCTAAAAAAAACAAACTTTGTATCATTGAAGATAACAATGTCATTTGGAAATGAGTTTGTATATTTTTTTTTCTATTTTAAAACCGTTGCTCTACACTAGGATTTTCTCCTGTGTCGTGGGTGCGTTTACAAACATACAAGTTGAAACACACGACACCCAGACCCGGAAAAACAATCTGTGGATCACACAAAGAGTTGTTCCGTAAGGGAATCGAACCAGCGACACGTTGCGCGGCAATCAGTTGCCCGACCACCGCGCCAATCGTGCAATCGATTGTAGATTGAATGACTGGCATTTTATCATTTGTTCCATACACTTTGCTTATCGCGAACAAATGCACACGGCACGACACACCCTCGTTGTTCGATTAGATAGTTATCGACATTATGAGTACCTAATCTAGTTGTGTGGCTATCAAATAGCCTGGGGGGTTTGCACACGAGCACTAAGATAGTAGGACCACGAGGCTCCTGTATCTTTTTTCCTGGTAGTTATTAATAGACTAGGCAGTTTTATAATTTACCTTAAGGTCCTGTCCTGTTCCTATATACTTAATGTTCATAATTACATAAAGAATTTATTGAAGAATGACTTGAAGTAAGATATTGTATATAGTAGGTTTATAATAAACCATATCTTACTTCAAGTCATTCTTCAATAAATTCTTTATGTAATTATGAACATTAACTCAGGATTTACAAAAACAATAAAATGTATTCAATATCATTAATTTGTCTTGATACCAAAAGCTATTTAATATCTACAGATCGATTTATTACTACGGACACGAGCAAAGGTATTATTCGATTAGATGCAGTCGTTTTGTAGAACTGATTTAAAATACTACGGTTTCTATTTAATTCACCGTCTATCCGTTTGTAAGGTTACTAAGAAAGATAATCTATGTATACAAAAATGAATCCCTTTTTCCTTGGTCACGGCACCACGCATGAATGGCTGGACCGATTTCAATAATGATTTTTTTGTTGTAAGTATTTGTTATTATTAGGAGAAGGTTCTTAAGACAGAAAAAATAAAAAAAATCCTACGGGCACGGGAGAAAACGGGATTGCGCGTACGAGGTCGCAGGCAAAAGATAGTAAATAATAAAAATAGGTACCTACCTTGTTGAAATATGAGTCTGCTAGGTACGCAATCTTCTGCGGCGCGCCGGGGCACTTGATGAGGGTGTCAGGGTACGTGAAGATAGCGTTTCCTTCCTTGTGTTTCTGCATATCTGAGAATGTTTTCTCGCAGTATGCCGCTGAGAATATCGAAGATACGCCGCTTGACTTGTCTTGTAGGGCCAGGCATAGACCTGGGATCTGGAGGATATAGGTAACTTGAAATATGAAGACATTATTGTGTTACACGTATGTTATTCACACAGGAATGACTTGATATATTATTATGTTACTACATCAGTCAACAAAATGTACTGTTATGTTAAATTCTTCGTTATTTTGAACAACTTTAAATAAAGAACATATTCGGGGGGTTCTGAAGTGCCTGTGCCTCCTTAGTTTATAAAAAAAAACTTATTTATGCTGTTTTTTCCTCGTATTGCTTACTGATATATCGAATAGAGAATAGGTATATTACTGTAAATCATGCAAATCATGATATGTAACTACCTAAACATTAGTGAAAACTTGTAAGCAATTGGATTTCCTTTAGATGTAAGTTTTCTAAATATAAAAATAATATATTTCGGTTCGATTCCGGAGTAGGGCAAAGTATAACTGGTTTTTGTTTAAATCTCAGTAATAGCACGGAGTCTGGATTTGTGCCCGGTATATGGCAATAGGCTCACCCCCTATTACATGGGACTCAGAACATAAATAGTGAAAAGTAGGTGTTACATTGTACAGTGGCATTAAGTGCCGTAATGTGCACCTCTGCCTTCCTCTTCGGGGAAAAAAGGCGTGATGTTATGTAAAAATAATATAAAAATATCTCATTAACTCGATAAATACCATAGACTAACCTTATCATAATCATTGATCAGTCCAACAGCCACGATGAGGTACTCGTAGTCGATAACATGGCCGTTCACAGTCACCACTTTGTTACTCTCAGGTACGATACATTTTGCAGAGTCCTGTATCCATTGGGCCTTCTTGGGGAGGAGCTTTTCCTCCTGCCGACGAGTGTCTCTCACCGTCACTGCTCCCGCACCAACTAACGTGAACAGAGGCTGATAGTAATGGTCCTGGGAACAATAGCATAGTTCTCAATAAGAAAATATGTAGAAGTATTTGCTCCATTGAAAATATACAAAGATCGTGAATTCAAATGAATTTAGCTAGTCGATAAAGTCTGTTAAGAAAATGGAAACTATAATATGCTGACGATAGGTATAGTACCTAGATCGCACTACAGCAGCGAGGCTCAAGGGAGACGCACGTCTCCCTGGGGATGTGCCGTAACAGGCGTTGTGGCGTTGTATACCGTAGGAGCTCCAGTCTATTAGAGAACCCGGTGCCCCTTACAGGTGTGAAAGGCCACAGAGGTGGTTTAAGCGAGTTAAAATCTTACACTTCCTAGTATTTCTCCCCAAAACGCCAGACGCCTATTGAATGTTTCCCTTCCCCGTCATAAAAAAATCGCATAACACAGGGAATCCCAGAACATATCTAAGAAGGATGTCAGAAGAAATAAAAAACATAAATCCCTACGGGGATTAACAAAAAACTAATACAAACTACAAGATGTTTTACTATGCAACATACATAGAAGTGCCTATGTTTGTAATACACGTGTCGATAACAATGTCTGGTATAATAGACACTACATTCAACTGCAACTTATGAATGTGTACATAACAATGACGTGTGTGCATTAAACAACCAACGTTTAGATTATGCAATTTGTGTATGTCGGTAGTATCTCAGCTTGTCAAATTACATCATCGAACTACAGGCTATTGTTATTAATTAGACATAATTAAATTATCTCTCTTATTAGCAGTATGTACTGCTACTGTCATATTTGTTCTCGCGGTGTCGCCCGCTCTGCTCGGCTCCTTTGATCGTAGCGTGTTTTTTTTATATCTTATAGCCTTCCTCGATAAATGGACGACGGAGTCGTTCCTGAGATTATAGTTCAAACAAACAAACTAACTCTTCAGCTTAATACAATAAGTATAAGATTAGTCATTCGTACCTACAGTATTTTGCATCTACAATTCTACATACATAGATACATTGAACCAAAAGTTATTAGTTATATAGACTGTAAGACCCTATAGACTTTTATTAACATGATCAACTAGCTTCTGTTAGTAGCTTCACCCACGTTGCCACGGTTTAAAAAGCTGTTGTTATGCATATCCTATATTAACACATAGGCTTTTTAAACCGGAATAACTTTCGGATCATAAACTACCCCCGTTCCAAATTTAACCCCGATCTCTTAAGTCGTTTTGACATGAAGAAGTTACAAACAAACATACATACAAATTTTTACACACATACATTATAATAAGAGTAGATGATAATAAATATCAAGCAATTCTCATAGATTAATCAAACGCTAAACATTAACACCTACGTTTATACACTGTTACTGAAAGTCTTCAGTAGATAAATGCATGATTTGGGCAATACATTCAAGTCTTCATTAAGAAAATGGCTGTTCATTAAGACTTAAATGACCTTAACAGAGTTAATGGACCGAGCTTATCACTTGATAACTTGGATTTAGATACGTGATAGTATGAGATATCTACCTACGATCTACAGCGTGGAAACAGTTGGTAAAAGGGATGATGACAGGGTACGAAAATTAAAAATCGAATTAGTCCGTCAGTTAGTAATGAAAAAATATTATAATAAAACAATACTTAGATAAAACGAATCAAAGTTTAGGAGTGGGAGGTAGCTACGTCATTTTAGAGTATCTACAAATCGTACTCAAAAGTGACGTCATGCGAAATTTCAAATCAATATATCTTCGAAATTATTCGTTTCCGTAAGAAAATAAAAAAATACGTGTCTAATGTTTTTAAATAATCTACCAGACGGGTATTAAAATAAAAATTAGTCATCTACCCTATTCTTAGTAACATAATTTGTCTCATTAAAAACCTTTAAAGTTCTGTTTCGTCCTTCAGCGGCATTTTTTTTATTTATTCATTTTATAAGTTGTCTTTATTCACGGTAGGCGTAATCATAGGTTTGGTATTGTAATACAAAAAAAAACAAATGCAATTTTGTCTTTTAGACTTGCTAAGCTCATAATATATATTATAGATACCTACTCCGAAAAATAATGGTTCTTTTGTTGTTTGTGCTTTGTAAACCGGTAAACCACAATTATTTATTGTCTGTCCAGAGTCTTTTTTTTAAGGGGGGAAAATCATCGAAGGACTGCTCCGGGAGCAGTGCTCTCGCCTGGGTGAGGCGGGAGGGAGTGTCAGACTCCCACTGACTAAAAACCACCCCGTTCCTTCTCCTGCGCTTCGAGCCGGAGCCCCGGTAACCCGTTAGGTCTGTCTTGAGTCTAGCAAGCAAATAAGTAACCGCGTTTCTTTCTATTAATAAAAAACCTTTCTGTAGATATAACAATATTTCTTGTTAATTAAGTTCAAGGAAAATTTTTGTGAATACCACAAACAGATGAGCTTGCAACAGCTGAGTGACAAGGAAAATATATTAAACATAACAATGTGTATTGGCATTCTATCTTTGCCGGTACATATTAGCAGGTTTTACCTACTCATATCTATTATCTACCTGACAACTCAAACTTGCTCAACCTTAAAACCCATCCTATAAATTCAATTAAATGTCATTATAAACAACCAGTGGGAGTCTACTGCTGGCCTATGGGTGTGTTTCAAGTGTGGGAGAGCCATGCTTCGGCACAAATGTGCCGGCTCGACCGGAGTGATACCACAGCCTCACAGACAGCCAACATGAACCAACACCTGCATTGTGTTTCGTCGTGTGAGTGAGGTTACCAGAGGCCCAATTACTTCCCTCCTCAATCTCCCCTATCCCTAATCCCCAAAAGGCCGGAAACGCATTTGTAACATCTCTGATGTTTCGAGTGTCCATGTGCGGCGCCGATTGTTTACCATCAGGTGATCCGTCTGCACGACTATTTTATTATTATATGTTCCATAAAATTGCGTCTCTTCTACAAGATGTGTGTGCTATAATCTTCACGCTTAAAAAGCGGGTCGATCGCAAATAAATTTATGTTAAACCTGAGACTATAGTCTGACATCAAGATCTATAAATCAATGTGTTATTATAAAATAAATCAATCTATTTAGATATATTTACTGTACATTGTTTATTATTTGTGATAAATCGTAGTACAGTGATAACAGCGGGGCTTCACGGTCTAATAGTAATAACTTGCATTGTGAATAGAACATTCAACTCAACATACTAAATTATTATAGTTATAAAAATGAAAAAAAGTGTTGCTAAGTGCAAATCTTGAGAGCAGCTGAACCAATTTCGCTGTGTTTTTGTTGATAGAAGGTTCTTACGTAAAAAAAATTTTACTAAGATGTGCAGAAAAACAAAATTTGCAGCTCCATGTGTTTTATAGAATCTGCCTGTAATATACTCGTAAAGTCAACAGTTTGTTTAAAATTGAATGAATTCTTACTTTGCTTGGCTCAAGGACTATGACATTATCTTTGGGCAGTCTCCTGCAAAACTTGGCGGCCATCGCACATCCACCTGTGCCACCGCCGATGACAAGGACTTTGCATCTGAAAATAATTATTACAATAAGGGCCTGTTTCAACACTATTGATTAGGTTTAGAAGATATTGACATGACACATTTTAAATTTTCCACCAGTTGGAGTAACCAAAACTTAACTAGAAGTGAACACTTGAACAGAGTCTATAAAATGAATCCTTACTAATATTATAAATCGGAAAGTGAGTTTATTTGTTTGTTCCACCTTCACGCCGTAACTACAAAACCGATTGCTTTGAATTTTTGCAGATGTAAGTTAGAAGTCTGGATTAAATAATAGGGTACTTTTTATCCCGGAAAAAGTTGGTATTCTCGAGGGAAAACGAAATTATTGGTGTAGATGGCGCTGTGTGTATTGGTATATGTCACATAGGCTACTTTTTATCCTTTTGTGACGCGAGCGAAGCCGCAGGTAAAAGCTAGTTTTAAATAAACTCAACTTTGGTCAACCCACAATTAAAACCAAGATAGTAGGTAATTGTGCTCTAGTGTCTTAATGCATTGATATATATCACACTGAAAATTTGATCATAGAAAAGAAGTCTCTAAACATTGGAAATAAAGTCACTTGGGGATTGATCAGTTAATATCTTTTATCTTATTAAAAAGTAGAGAAATTATTCTTCTATAACATTATTTTGTGAACTTTTTAAAACCTTTAGCATAAAAAGGAAAATACTTGTTTCTTATGAATATAAAACAAACATAAATATACAATATTATATGTTATAATAATTATACAACAGCATTCAAGTCATAGTATATGTGATAAACATGCTATTTTTAAACAATACTCGCATTAGTAACATAGTGACTTTAGCAATGTAATAAAATGTACACTTTATAGCACACAGCACAAAGTTCATTTTCCTGAGTATGGCTGTATAGAAAAACTGCATTAATTATTATAGAGAGCAAAAAGCTTTGTACAACTTCAGGTCAGTTGAGATAAAATAAAAAAATAATTTATAAGATAAAAGGATATTTGTTGAGCCATAAATAATATTTCTTTTTATATTTGATGGGCTGACATTTGACCACTATAATTTTATTAATCGTAATAATATTTAAGTAAGTTATTATTTAGTTTATATTTTAATTAAGTAGGTCATTTTATTTTTCTAGTAAGTATTAGTTTAAATTTTAATTATTATGTCAAAATAACTTTTTAAAAGAGCATAAATTCAACTTTAATAAGAAATCATAATACTAGTAAAACAGTTTTAGTATTAATAAATTGTTGTTCAATATTTAAACTTCATGAACTTAACAATTTTAATTTTTGTCCTTAAAAGAAGACCCATGGTAGCCTACCTGTAGCAAATTCCGTGGTTGCAAGAGTACAGATCTAATATATATTTTATATATATATATATATAAAAAATGTGAAGTAGGTATTATAATCTTATCTTTGAAACCCATGATCCTGCTTAGCAACAACTTTTTTCCAATATTGTAGTAATTTACCTACATTTATCAGATTCTTATTTAATCATTGATTTCAATATACTATATTTCTATTAAATTGATTATGTGACCAACTTAAACAATGATAACATCATTACATAATTTTAATAATTCTCGAAATGTTTAAGTAGAATGTACAAGTAGATAATAACATTTAAAATAGTGTTTGTTATCTCTACTATTCAACAACAGATATTGATATGAATAGTGTATGTTATCTGTATTTAAACTCATTTGAACAAACCATTGATCGATTGACTGAAGGAATGATCAAATTCAAGGAATGTTTTCAAGTTCCAAACACGAAATCTAGACGATTCTCAACGACCAATATAAGTAATATATTTAATTAACACTAGTACTCACGAGTATGTGCCATTATTTGGCATGGATACAGAGAAACTTCTGCATAATCCCGGAGTGCAGACGGCTGTAAGTCTTCGTATGAAACTCATGTTTTGAACAAATCACTGGTCGCACTGTAAACACTTATCCGGCTGCATCCACATGAAGTATGGTCCTATTTCTAATGCTCACACTAGTTAAGTAACCGCAAACGCGATGATTCAGTACTGTGTGCAGTCGTTACTCGCACTCGCAATACGACAGTTTGTTGATATTTGGTTGAAGATTGTCAGTCAGTCAAGATTATTTGAGTCATTTGACACATTGACCGTCATTGACGTTGCCAGGGTAAATTGTCATTTTTCTAGTACCATTCGAAGACGTTTCTATCAACGACAATTTAGTGACAAGTAAGTAAGTAGGAATAACAACAATTTTCTTAGATTAAGCTAATTTTCAAACTATCCTTCATCTTAAATATAAAGAAGATAAAACTTTCAAAATGAAAACCATTGCAAAATGAGCCGACAGACCATAAAGAACCAAAGACTTGAGTTGATTTCATCCCTGTCAAAAAAATATGTCATAACAAAAATGGCGGACGACGACGAAATTGACATTTTAGGAGATTTTTCTTTTAATTCTTGTTTTGCTCAAAACAATCAAGGAATGTAAGTAAATCTATCGTTTATATGATCCTAGTCATATTGATAGAAAATGCGATATTTAATTATGATTACGCAACACTTCCATTAACGGTTATGTTTACAATCTTGTTGACACCAATTCTTCAAACAAAACAATAATAAATCATAGTTTTTATGTGCCTGATGCTATCATTAAATGCTAAGCTACATTGTAAACTATTGAGAGAGTTATATTGAATACTTTTTGTGCGGTTTAAGATTACTTTTTACTGGTAAATACAAATACATGCACATCTGTTGCTTTCAGCCCTTCCTGTTCGAATAGAGAAGATACGGTGCATCCACAATGGCTACTCGACTCCACAGAGACGAACTGGTACGATAAACAAAATAATAGGTAAGTTTTATACATGCAATCTATTTGGAATTGCATGTTGCACTTGCCGGAGAGCCAAAAATGTCAACTGAATTAAACCAAAGCACGCAAATCTTCCTTTCACATTCATTCTGTCCTTGTTCTGTAAAGCTCTAAATGTTAAATTAGTTATCATACAAATAAATGAGATAATAATATAATTCAATTTGGTACTTTTTCAAGGCTAAAAGAGGGATCACCGAGGAAGCTCTATGGGAACAACTCTTCAGATAAGCACGCAAATGATGTTCATACAGCTTGGAGTGCTAGGGAGAGGGATATCCTTATTAAAGAGATGGTGAGTTCATATTTATAAAGATTCAGTTTAGTAATTATTTTGTTTTTTATGGAATAAGCCGGTAAATGAGCCGATACTGGCGGCGCCGATTGCTTGCCATCGAATGATCCTGCCTGATGGTAAGCAATCGGTATGGTGAGTTACCGGCCTTTTGGAGATTAGGAATTTGAGTTTTGTTGGGGCTTGGGATGATTGTTGAGGGGGTAATTGGGCATCCGTTTGTATTTGTAGTGTCCTAATGTAATATAAATATTGTTGACACAGTCGTTATCTGTAATACTTGCAACTGGAAGTGTTAATTCGACAGCAAATTGTTTAGAGTTAGTGTAGTTTTCAACTATTGAACCTCATTAACATAAGCAACATGCATTTACCCTTGTCTATTACTTATCCACAGGCTAAATATGGAAGAAATGTACGTAAAATATCACAAACATTGAAAACAAAGACTGAAGCAGAGATACAGGCATTGATTGAGGCTGAGTATGGTGTTAACTTGGAGACTCCAACATTTGGGCTGGACAAACCAGAGGACCACGAGGATATACCAGCTGTGGTCCAGGAAGAAATAGTTACAGATGACATGACTAGCATAAATAATGTTATCAACATGGTCACTACCGGAGCACCCACTATTAATGTACCAAAGAAACCATTCAGGAAGAAAAACACAAACTCAAAGAGTCTCCTAAAACCAGACGTTTTAAACGACAAGAAGGCTGAGTTATTGGCAATAAATCCAGCAGAAATATTATATGAGGATGATCTAATAATAGGGTCGACAGAATCTATTGGTTCTGAGCTTGACCTGACTGACATTGTCTCTAAGAATATAGTTAAGTATCAGGCGAAAGTGAAGGCTGAGAAAAAGATTGGTAACCATAGGAGAAAAAGGTCTAGGAATTATGATAAGGGAACAACTAGGAATAAAAGTAAGGAGTTATTGAAATCTCCCCTAGGAAGACAGAGGAAGGATTCTAGTTTGTCTGAGGACAGTGTGAAGAGTCCTAAAATGCAGATTGTGTTGGGCTCTGGACAAGCTTTGCCAGTGTCTGAAGGGGAACAAGTGGTGAGTTCTGTGCCTGATGTTACTTTTAGTTCTTAAAAATTATGTTAATACTATTTTTTGACAAAGTTATTTGGCCAGTATTAAAAAAACAAACCTTTAATTTTATCATGTTAACTAAAAATATCTCTAATTATTTATTACTCATATTGTTTCTACTCTCTGCAGATAAAAATAGAGAAGAAGAAAGACTCGGAACCAGAGAGTGACATAGAGATAGATGTGGACAGTGACAGTGAGAGTAGTACTCACAAGTCTACTCCAACCAAGGAGCCGAGGGAGAAGGCAACAGAGGAACCTATAGCTGTACCACTCAGTAGGTTTGAACCTATGCCCAAAAGACCCAAGAAGATTAATCTGGTAAGTTTCGTTGACTCTGCTTACTATACAAAGAAGCGAAAATGATTAATCAATTTTCACATAATGCTTAATATAACCAGCGTCTTTGTACCTAAAATTAGTACTTATTTATTCGTACTATTTTCGTAATTTCTTAAAAAATGATTTCTTTGTTCTCTTTCAGCTTCATGTGAAGATAAATTAATAATAATAAGAAAAATTTGCCGCATACACACTTCTATAAACGTAATATTAATGTATTAATCATGATCTAACTTTTACAGGACGGTGGAGGTGGCTACACCATAATGCATACAGAAGCGGGCGACTTGGTGGCATTGGGCGCAGAACCGCGCCGAGGTCGTGCGCCTCGCAAGACACCAGTACAACTGTTGCACTGTCGGGTCTATAATGCTGAGAAACCGGTCAGTGCACTAGTTATAGCACCTTGTTTATTTTCCTTTTTTTTTCTTATGTTGCTAATATTAGTATTATATTTTACGATTTACTACTATTTCTTTTCAGAATAGTACACTAAACTCACCTCTTGATATTTTATAGTTTCTTTTTACTGAAAAATATCCCAGTGATATATTAATTCGTTGCTTATAACGCAGGCCCCATTCGAGGTGCGAGTGCACGTGTCGACGCTGGTCCTGATGGACGGCCACGCGCACACGTCGCGCGGCGAGGTGATGGGCCTGCTGGGGGGCGAGCTCAGTGCGGCCGCCCCGCCACTGCTCACTGTCTCCGCCTACAGACCGGCCGCCGCCGCCGCTGGTAGCACGCACTGCGATATGGACCCTGGTAAGACCTCTTATTCTCCTGTCTGCCATGGAAAATAGGTGAACGATTTGCCTGAACGAGAACGAGTTATCAATCTCTTTATGGTCGCATGGGGGTGGGCCTTAAATAGACACTTTTTCAATATGTGGCATATTAATAGTCGATATGTTTTCATTCAGTGTCATTCTATTTTAGTTGAATATCTCCAGTCAGTAATACCTATTAGCAAAATAAAATTAATCATTCTTTGAATAATTTTGGGCAAAGTAATACGAGAAATGTAATTATTGAAATTTCCTAGTGTCACAATCCATGGCCGCCGAGTCCCTGCGCGGCGCGGGCGCGCTGGTGTGTGGCTGGCACCACTCGCACCCTCAGTTCCCGGCCGCTCCGTCGGCGCAGGACCTGCTGTCGCAGCGCGGCCTGCAGCGCGCGCTCGAGTGGACGCACGTACCCTTCCTCGGGTTCATCACCTCGCAACACTGGCCTACGGGCAGGACGGCTTCGCAGTACCGGTGAGTTCATATTCCATTCTCAGTTCTTTCATTCGAGAAGAGTGCTCGATTAATTTAAGCGGTTTATAATCATTAGCAGTACACGCGGCGACTTAGCCGATTGTTTCTTTCCAAAGGTCGATGGGCAATATTTATCGCCCGGTACAATGTTTTTTAAAGTCGGTAAAAATATGTCTACTCCTTTTCCAGATGTATTCGCGTGGAAGACGAACAAGATGCGGAGCTCCCAACAGGATACCAACTCAGTGTGAAATTGGTACCGGATCTCACGGCAGACAACCTGTCGAATTACCTACAAGAGCTGCGCGCTGTCATGGTGGACAATCTCAGCAGAAACGAGTTCAGTGTCAACGTTGTTAAGGACATTTGTCCTCAAGCGAAAATTACCTATTTAGAAAAGGTCAGTGCATGTATCTGATACCTTATTAATAGCTAATATAAAATTCAGTGTTAAATGCTGTTAGTGCAGTAGTTACAAATTTTATGAAGTAGGTACTTATACGAAATCTAATATTGGCTTATGTAATTATTCCAGTTAAAGGCTTTGTCTAAGGGTATACTGATATATCCATTGTCAGTCGTTAATTCTGTGTGTAAATGAAGAGTATACTTACGTATTTGTATTGTCCACAGTGCATATCAAGCGCATCGCATCACATGCGGTCGGCAGGATACGAAGAGTCCGACCCGCTCGTGCAACAACTCATGCAAGGAATCAGAGATGTCTTCAGATAGACATAACATCACAAATTATATGGATTTACTTTTATTACCACATTTATTGTAGACTCCTTGGTCCATATTCAAGGCAAAACAGGAGCAATTACTCGCCACGCGCCCACTGTCGTTTCGCAAGAAGACGCGCCCACTCTAGGGTTAATTTTTATATAGTCCACTATGTAGTCAAGTCTTGTTCAAGTATTGAATTCCTGTACGTAGTATTGTTTCTAGTGCCTACATCACTACCATTTATATACTTTAGAATTGTTGTATTTCTTCACAGTAGCTAGATTTTGATAAAATAACGATTTTAATACGATTGAGTAGAACTGTTCATGTAAATACAGTGCTGTATTGTGATATAAAGAAGTTATAGAAGTTTTTAGCAATTCTTTGTATAATGAAGTACGTCTCAATTTCCTTTACAGAGCTTTGTACGTAGAAGAGGATGTTATTTATTGATTTGAAATAATTATAATGTTAATGTGAAGTCATCACAATGTATAAAAATTAGAGAAACAGACTATAAAGTATAAACAGGGCTATACAAGTCGTCTAGCGAGATCTTTTTCCGATTAGGACGTCATAATAACCCCGCAGCATTTGACTGTCCCAAGCTGTTTGTCTGTTTCTGATTACATTCACGACTTTGTTCTAATATAATTAAATTGTTTCAAGACTATAATAAATGTACGATTTTGTGTATATTTTGTTGACTTACATGTATCATTCAAAATACAAAGCCAGCATCACTCGAAAAACACTAATTAAAAGTTTTAAACAATGGCGCTCTTTTAAAATTTTAATTTTATTTTAACATTATTTGTATTGATATAAGTTTAATTTATTGAACATTTGTAAAATTATTTGTCATATATTATTTGGCCATTTAGTATTGTTTTTAAAAACATTAACTGTTTTAAACGAGCTTTTTACATTCTAAAATGTCTTTCATATGTTTACTTTGCCAGGTCCTGTAGTGATTAATTGTAAAATCACCTGCAATCTATAAAACAAATGACGTGTGCCATGTAAATCTTGTAAACAAAACAAATAAATTTCGATATTCTTCACTTCTCGTCTTCTTATTTGCTGGAAAGGAAAGTGTTTCACAAACCCTCTCCTTTCGGGGTCCCAAAACTAATACTATGAAATTAAAAAATTAAAATTCCATGGAGTTTCATATAAGAGAAAAAAGGATTTAATTTTCTATTACATTAAAAATGAAAATCAAAAGCATATGGCACAGTTCCAGTTTATTTTTTAATTGTTACATGTGCTAGATAAAAAAATAATACAGTCCGATTAGTGAAATTCTTTTTACTATAAACCATCGGCCGTTGCGAACAAACAGCCGAGTCTCGTATCGTTGCTGAAATTAATACTTAGGTTTTATTACAAATCGTTTATCTTCACATTCGTACACTCTAAATTGGAAAACATTATATTTCTTTTTACAATTTTAACAAGCATTTTAACCAATATAGTTTTGAGCCCGTTGGCTTGAGCTCTGCGGGTATCGACTTGATACTAACGTACAGTCGGCACGCACAGAGACGCCTCTAGTGGACCTTTTTGGTAGTACAAAGGTACTTTAACATCGTAAGTGCCTTGTATAATATAATTTAAAAACGATATAGTAATTCATCTATTTATACAGTCATATTGTCAAGTGTCCGGGCGCACCGCGGTCACTGTTTATATTACTGGGCATTATAAAAATGTACTGCGGTCAAACACAAGATATTACGATTTATTAACGCCTTACTAAACTGACACTCGGTCGTAACGATGCACGCAATATACACGAACCTAGCTTTAGACGAATTGGCAAGTTTAGAACTTACAAACAAATGGAAAACACATTGGCAGTGATAAAACAATGTTGTAATAAATAAACTAAATTTGAGCAGAGTCTACACTATAAGATCTAGCGGGAACATTTGATTTAACAGACTATTCTTAACAAAAACCGCAATATTTTGTGTTTGATGGTTCGCATCACAACGCAACCTTAGGCAATAAATAAAAAAAAATGATTTGTTTTAATTAAATTAATAAAAAATAAAGAGTTCGAAACGATCGTAGCGTTACGTCTATATTTACAATGTGTTAACTTACAACTAATTAGAAGCATCAACTATGAAAATTTTTATCAACATTGAAGGCACATGATTCCGCACCCGATTCTCGTCATATATGTGCAAACATTAGGTGCACTCTCCGCTGGCAACACTCTTCTGTACTTCTATTTTACATGGCAACACTACAGCGTGTATCGTCTATCGAAGCTTTGTCAAACATGTAGAAAGGATAAAAAAGTTGTTAACATTATTCCAATGTGGGATAACAAACATAATTTACGACACAAACAAATCTGTATTTGCAAAGTTATGACAGACAATACAATCCGTAGTGTTGGTACATAATGGACCGGACGTGACATGCTAACTTACACAATATTATACAATATGCGAAATAAGTACTGGTATCCTATTCGCATTGCACGACACTCGATCCGAAATCCGACCATAGAATATATTTAAACACGATATAAAGGCTAAACATTAGTTAAAAATGATCATTTCGTAATATTGTCTCAGATGACAAGTTTCATGCAACGCAAACGTAGACTAGTTAATTTATTTGAAGGTTGACTTAGGGAAACTCAGTCTGGCAATGGTATTATAGCAATAGTACTCAGACTCAGTCGTCGACACACTTACGCTGTGCTGTAGGAAGAAAGGAGAAAGAAAATTAATAGCAGCCTTATCGAGGTACGAGAAGAGTAACGATGAATGACGCCATCCGAAGACTTCCAGTAATCGTATGACGTCATACTGCATTACTACGCACATATCAAAAGTGACAATAACACTAAAGTGAAACAAAGAAAGTGTTACATAGAGTACATATTTGCTCAGTACAGCACAAGCCTGCAGGCGACTGAGATCGGCTAAGACCGGTCACATACAGAATAAACATAAATTTATTCTTAACAACTATTTCGCTAATTAGTTCTATTCACAGCTGCGGAACGGAAATTATTTATATAAAAACATGTCTCCACTTATAAGTGCAGTTTAATTCATTACATTGATATTTGATTGAGATCCCGTCGTGCGTACGATTGTTTTGTCAATAATTTTGATTTTAATGGCAAAATAGTGGAAAACATGCTGGTGTCTGACTATTAGTACATCTAGGTACACGCATAAAAATAATTATTCATTTTAATTTTCATATCATAATTCAATTTCAGTAATTATTTGTAATTATAAAACTAATTGTACTTTGAAGGAAATAAACGATTGAGCCAGTCACCAGCACCTCTTACACCGTCATTTTGATAAAATTTCATACTCCCATCAATAATTACGAATCCTCAATTTCAACGAAATTATATTTTTATATTTAAACAGAACACGTCATTTTATATCTAAAATATTAATTTAAAAATATACAAACTAAGCAGTCATTCATGTAACACTAGGAATATAAAAAAATTGTTTGCATACCGTCATTCTGCGATTTAAAAAAATATCGTACAATAGTAAGCGTACTCAACTAGCTCGTAGTAAAAAAATAATTAAAATTAATTAAAGAAAAGCTTAAAGAGTCAATGAGGAACAGAATTTATACAATGTCGCGCAGTTATACTTATTACGATTATACTTATCGCAATGTTTTAAAAATAAATAATTTATTTAATCTATGGCCGCCCTGTCACTGTACAGTACATTAAAAGTTTATTATCGATAACTGAACATTATGCTAAAACAATCAGCTTCACTGGGTGACAATAACAACATAATATAGTACCGTGTGACAGGGCGACATGTAAAGGGCAGTACACACTGGCGCATAAGCTCGCACGCGTTCACACTGGCGTGTCCGTACATTGATGTTTCCATGTACGACGAATTCATTATTATTGTTATCGACAATACCTCACATTACACACGGAAAATATTGATCGTAATTCTCATTTTCTATCGCTACAGAATACAACCGAGTCAGTATAACAATATAAAAATAAATTTACAAAAAAAAGGAATACATTTATACCTCTCTATTCTAATTATTAAATATAACGAAACTTTGTAGTTGATATTCGAATACATATAGTAATCTAATATCGATTCTTTGATCACAATAAGTGAAGAAACTGGGGTATTGAAGAAATATTTGAATCAAGACGTCTCATTTACTGAAATCACTAAGCGATTCAGTTGGAAATTGACAATAAACACCGATTCATAAATGAATAGGACTGACTTTTTTATGGATAGAAAATGAGTGTTTATCCAAGTACGTTTTGACATAATGTGTGTAGGTATTTCTTGTATCTCCTTCTGTAGTTGTTCTGGTGAGCCGGCGGTGTGTCCTAGTCGATGCTCTTGACGCGCGCCATGACCTTACCTTCAAACATGGGCAGAGTGTCCGAGTCGCTGCTCACTTCCTCTTGGATCACCGTGTCTAGATCGGCGCAATTAGTTTTGAAGAAGTATCTGAAATTAAACAATTGAAAGGTATAAATATTTTGTTCTAAATTGTCTTCACTTCTAGAAGAATAAACACAGTCAGCAATTGTTAAAAAGTAACAATCAATCATAATTTTGTGTGTTTTATTCAGTCTTCAAATTCGTAGAAAAATATTCTAAATTAATTAAAATCACGTCTACATTTCATAAAGTTGTTTAAATATATGTGTATAGTGTATGTACCTATAGTTGCCCTTTCTAGGCAGGTAATCCTTGAAGGTCTTGAGAGTGAGCGGCGAGGCGGGCACCTTGAACCTGTAGGGCACGTTCTCGTCCAGGAACGTCACCACCACCACCGTGTGGCTCTCCGCGCCGCCGCCGCTCGTACTGCTCGACTTGCTGCCACTGCCGCTGGAATATACAAACTCAATTAATTTCAAAGAACACAACATTTCATAAACTCCCCCGTCTTTCTGATTTCGCGTTATAAAACGATACTGGCGCGTAAAGTTCAAAAACGGCTAAACTATCCTGAACACATTTTGGTGCTATATTTATTAAGAAAGTCTGGTAAAGTCGGAGCTGAACCGAATTAGAATGCAAAACTATAGCGTGCTGCTAACATCAATACAGTCGTATTGAGTTCATATTAATTTCAAACTTTTTAGGACTGTAATTATTCAATAATAGTTTATAAAAATTAGTATCATACCGCGCGGCTCGTGGCGGCTTGTCCTTGCGGCGCAGGTCGTCGCGGTCAGCAGACGAGGCACGCGAGTGATGGCGGCGCTCGAGACGCTCGCGGTCGCCGCGGTCGCCGCGGTCCAGGCGGTCCAGGCGCTCGCCCTCCGCCATCCACAGCAGGATGCGAGGCTCCACGCCCCCCTCCGACACTACTGACACTCCGCTGTCCGTCAGCTCCGTCACCGTCTTCTTAGAGAACGACCTGCCGGAGTAACTGTGTTACAGTCGTGTGTTAGATATGGGGTGGTTATACATTGTTTAATACAAAGGTTACAATAATCAAGCGAGGTACTTCAGTGTTACTTTTTATGAACCAAAATCGTGAGTGGTTATGGACATGCAACAGCATCCTCCCTCTACATTGTCCGACACTGGTTTTCTTGAAAAGTATGTTAAAGATATTCAAACAGTGAGTGTGTGCCAGTACCTGCGCGTGAGTGAGTGTGGATGATGCAGTGAGTCAGGCGGCGCGTCGTAGTGGCCGGAGTCGGCCGACAGCGCGGAGGGGGCGCGGCGCGCGGGGTGCGGGGGGTGCGGCCGCGCGCGGGGCCGCCGCCCGCCGGGGGGGGACGCGCCCGGGGTGCGCTCCGACCATACTCGGGACACGTGCTGGTCTGTATATGGGGAAAAAACATCGTTATAACACACTGTTGCTATCCGTATTATCTTTAACCCCTCGAGCGTCCTTATGAGCACCCGGTGGATCATAAGAAAAAATGCTCCATGATGCTTTCTCTTTTATAAAATGTATTATTAATGTTTTGTTTTTATTTTGATTGTATTTTTTTCATTTCTATTGTAATGAATTTTGTTTTCGTGTGCCAATGGCCAAATAAATGCCTTTTCTTTCTTTCTTACTTTCTCCAAATGTCACGTGTGCACCCGTTGGATCATAAGGAACGCGCGCTCGACAGGTTAATGTGGTTTAAACTCAGGGGAAAGATATCAAAACTAAAATTCGCATTATGCATAAGTGTAAGTGCTCACCGAGGATATCTTGATCGTTGTCGTCATCAAGTTGTAGTTTCTCTCGGATGGCGGCTGCTACTAGTTGCGGTGGTAACACTTGACTCGAAGCTTCTTCTACATCACCCTGTGTATAAATAAAATGAAGTGTTTAGAAGATACATATTATATAGGATATTTTGACCGTAGTAGGTAGCACAATTTCTACCTTTACAAAGAGACAAAGGTGTGAGTTTATGTAATAATGTATATTGTAAAAAAAATAAGAACCAAGTTTGAAGTTACCAAGCGTGAATGAATATTTTTGCCGATATACTGATTTGAAAGACTGTGACGTCACTTCTATGTACATTTTATACGTAGACGTTTTAGCCCCCACTCCTAAACTTTGATTCGTTTTATCTAAGTATTGTTTTATTGTACGACAAAATGAAAAATTTCGACTAATTATATTTTTAATTTTCATACCCTGGCATCATCCCAATTACAGTGCTATTTACTCCCTAAACGTAATACATAACTCATGAGCACAAATAATAATAACTATGTCCTTACCTCAGCGAGTCTCCTCTCGAGCCTCTCCTTGGCCTCCTGGTCCCGCCGCACGCGCTCCAACTTCTCAATGAGTAGCGGCGCGAACTCCGCCGGCGGCAACACGCGCAACTGTTCCGACTGGACTCGCGCCGTACGGGGGATCACCTGGGGTAAACATACAAGTATTAGGATATTGAAGATTAAATATGTAAATGTGTAAAAAAAAATCAATAGTCCTATAACAAATTAATATTTGTCAGGTTCAGTATTGAAGAAATGTCAAATATACAACGTTATTCCTCCGATAATACTTATCTGGTGTTGGAAAAATTTTCCTAAATCCAAATGTAATAATTAGGCTCCCACAACGATTAGTATAGTCTTTATTAAAATAAGATAAGGCTGCCCTAAAAACAGAAGGAGGTATGTAAGTTACTCTGTTGCAAAAAGGGTTATTAGATCATCCATAAAATACCATCACAATACCCTTTCAAGTTTCTTGTGTGTCCTCTGTATATTTGTATATATTCTGTATAGTGTATATCAATATAAAAAGATAAGTAAATATAACAACTTGACAATTTGGGGTCAAACATTGTGTTAGTCCTAGTCCTAGTTGCAGTGAGCTCATTGACTCACTTGATAATGAAAGTCAACAACGTGTTCGTGCCTTATCACTGATACAACTCTAACAGTATTAGATACTTACTTGTAGGGAATCAATGGAAAGATAACTTCCATGTTCTGCATTCATAAATTAAAATTATTTGCTTTTATGATTTGTTTGTACACCGCCAAGTGCGGTGAAATCAAAGAACTTTTAGTAAATACACTACATTTTTTTCAATAGTGAAAACTAAATTTAAGTTTCATTGTAAAGTTATGGGATAAGGGCGCCAAATGAATAGAAGTACATAATGATGGTAAACTTGATGATTGTGAACTTGCCAGCCTTTCGGAAGATTTAGGTTTCCGGTAACCTCACTCATACGGTAAAACACCGTAGCGTGGTTTTACGCAATTTTGTGGTTAACCGCGGTATCGGGTTAAGTAGACCTACCTCCGCCGAAGCAGGTAATAATCATTTGGCCTATTCGTGGTGAAGCCTAAGAAAAATTATAATTAATAATGCAGAAATTCTCACCATGGCAGTATCCTGTTCCTTGTTGATGACAGCGTGTCGGTCGAGGCCGTGCAGACGCGGCCGGTGCCGGGACTCGCGCGGCTCACGTACGTTGCGCACTGACATACCATCGCTACACGAAATATAAGACACAAATTAGATTCATGTGTCATTGATGGCCGATTTTAACAACCGATTTCATTCCAATATTTTGAAATCAGGATCAATTTTTGACATTCGTTGTATGGGATTTCTATTTAAAATCACTCTTAAATCTTAGTTCAAAGATTTTGAATCGAGATCGGTTATTAATATCGACCAAAAGACAGCGATATCGATAGTTTAAGATTTGACATTAATTTTAATTTAAGTTAAGGCAAGTTTCCTAATGGAATTAAATATTAATCATCACTTTTGAACAAATGAAAAATTGGTATTTTATTATTTATTTATTATATCTTTTATGTGTATAAGTAGACTCAATGTCATAGACTTAATCTTGGAGTTGAGATTTAGATAGTATAGGTAATATTTTTTGATCAAAATAACTATCGATACTAATATTATTGTTTGTATGTTATTGGGAGTTTGTATAGTGCAAGTTAATGTATCACACAGATGGGATCACAATGATAAATTAGTTGCTATTGGATTAAGCGGTTCTAAAGCTCAAAAGTAAAGAAAATCTAAGAAAATAAAAATAAAATCTACATTATTACACTTACTTGGTCGAAGCTTTGATTTCTTCTTACTTGGAAGACAATTAAATATAACATTTAGAATATTTGAACATAAGTCATAGTACAGTTGAAGAACAAAAATTTGAAAGTAAAGATCGGTTAATTATTATTAACAACTTGACTAAATTAAGGTGTAAGACTTTATGCTTTATTAGCGCCATCTATTCAGCGCAAAAACGAAAAGTATAACAACTTTTTAAGTCCTTTAACTTACTTCATTAGTTTATTTCCTTCAACAGTACTACAAGCAAAGCCCAAATATTCGTTTATAATCTCTGAGATACTTACACACTGCTGCCGGAGAGCGAGATGGCGTCGGAGTCGGTCCGTCCGCTGCTGAGACTGGCTCGCTCCGAGTCCTGCCGCGAGGCGGGGCAGTAGCCCGCGTACGACACGTGCGCACTGTACACTGAGCGCTTGCGGTGTCTACTGCCACCCGACATGGACCAGGGAACGGGGGACAAGGATATTGGGGATAGGATTTTGACGATATTTATAGAATATTTTCATTTTGTAGCGTCGATAGGTGGTCGTATCGACATTCAAATCGATTTTTGACGTCATTTTTGTGGTAACGTCAATCGTAAGAATATTGAGAAGGATTGAAGGAACGGTGAGAAGTTATGTGAGGTGGCAAGACAGAGCGTTTAGCGTGTAATACGGCGAACGCAGCGAGCATGCAGCGCGGAACAAAACATGGGGAGCAAACAATACACGGACACATCAGTCGAGCTGGCGGCGCAGTGGACTGGCGCATGCAATGCTGGGGACACTCCATTCACAGGGACGGGCTGACTGGGCTTTGTAGGTAAACTTAACTTCATAGGCAAACTTTCGTGTCTCAGCTTTCTTATACAAAATTTTGAAGGTGGATTTTCTTCCAATTTTAAAACTGTGACCAGACAACGTGCTGACAACCTGGTACTGCTACCAAGCACATTACAAAATTAGAAGAAAATTCATATTAATGTAACGTGAAAGCTTAATTAGTATAATGACCGTATGCTATTAAGTTCAAATTGCATTGTACTTGTATAGGTATTATTAGCTCAGTAAAGCCCATCCTCTGTCAACTATGAATGCTTTGATACGTCAGTATTATAAACTGTTCGTTTCATCAGGACAGTTGTGTCGCTAAATTTGGAATTTTGTTTTCTACATCTATTACAATAAAATTATCTAACTAGGCCAAATAATATCAAATTATAATAAAAATAGTTTTGTACTCACAAACTACTGAATAAAAAAATGTATGAAAGAAAAAATCTAAACATCGATAAAATTGCGTACAGCACTACTCTAGTAGGTACTCTAATTGACAAAACAAGTACAAAACACAAAAAAACTTGCATTTGATTTTCGAAATGGCAAGAAAATGTATTATTATTATTTATTTATTATTTCAACGATCAAATGGAAGTTTTTATGATTATATCTGACATATCTAGGTAGTATTCACGACGTGTATGTATAAAGTACAGGAGGGATAAAAGCGTGGCACTCACGGTGCGACGTCGGAGTGCAGCCGGCGCGACTGCGTGGCCAGCAGCGCGTCGTGCGTGAGTCGCGCGGCCGGCGCCGTGCCCGCGCCCGCGCCCAGCGCCGCGCCCGCGCCCAGCTCCTGGCCCTCGTGCAGCGTCGCCAGCCCGCCTACTGCCGCCTGCTGGGGGAAACGATGCTGTAGGATTTGACATATACAGAATAAAACATAGCAGAAGAATAAAATGATAGAAACATTGCATATAAAATCGTGCCCTTTGTTCCCTGGTATGTTTGGCAAAGGCGCTGTCAATATTATCACCAGTTATATTTTTTAATTTTTTTTATTAGATTATAACCATGTAACAGGAGAAAGGCTTGTCAATAATTAGCAATTAATTGTAGTACCGTGTTAATAAATTAACAGCGTAAACAATACTTTTACAATAGTCTATCTTCTAATAAAAGAATAGAATATAAAAATAAAATAACAAACATATGAAGATTACCTCTCTGGGTGGATGCGGCGGCGAGGCGTCTGGCGATGACAGCGGTTGCGTGGCGGCGCTGACGTACGACACGTACGCGTCCGACCGCAAGAACGACTGGTATGTCGTCTCCGTTATCGCACGCGTCACCTACGATTGTTATATTGCGATTAAATGCTCTGGACATGAAGAGGATTCAGAGGATTATTTATATAGCGGAACTAGCGGAAGTAAATATGATATTCAAATTATATCACACTCATTAGAGAACAATTTATAAGTCATTTAAAAATGTAAACATCAATTAAGGAGCAATAGCAGCTTAGTAATCAATCATCCATGATAAAAGTACTGTTTCTCCCACAGAATTGAATATTATTTATCGTTTCTTCGAGTATTGTTTTAAACGAATTGTATTTTTTTGGTTCTACTATTTTTTAAGCTCAGTATTACAGACGTACCTCCTGCTCCATATTATCGAATATAGTCTTCTCGATGTTAGAGCCATCCTTGAGGCTCTGCTTCACGTGCTGCTTCAGCTCTTCCGGCATCGCTAGCTGAGACTTGCGCAGGAATCTACACAATACATCAAGCATTTACATCTTTATGGGATATGATGATATAGCAGACGGATCAGATAATCAAACTATCAAAGGAGTTTCATGTACGTTCCATCACAGAAGAGGAAGGAAATTATTCCATAACAGCGTTGTATCACAATTTTATTGCTTTGCTTGTGTAATATTTATTTATTTATTTTATTTTAAAGCTTCATGCACAAAATGTACATTAGGTGGACTTAATGCCGCAGGCATTTTCTCCCAGTCTGACCTTTGGGTGATGCAGAGAAGAGTTAATGGTGTGAGCAAGAAGCAAGTAATAGACACAATTAATGGTTCATTTTTTTTAAGAACAATATAACTTGATTAAATAGATGAGGTTCTTATCAATTACCATTAAAACAAACAGATGTATTCACTTAAAGTCTACCCTTGATTTTTAATATTTGATTCCTTTGAATTTCAGTCAAAAACATATCTGGATTTAGAGATTCGGCGGTCAGACCGGTTATTATTTCGGCTGTTGGAAATAAAATGTTGGTAACTTACTTGTAAATAGCGGAGACGACCTGCCGTATCTTGGCGGGCTCGTGTTCCTGTCGCAGCCCCTGCACTGCGAAGTAGAAGTTGAGGCGGTCCACGTGCAGCCCGCCCGCGCCGCTGACGTACTTGCGGAACAAACGTACGCCCTCCGCGTCCTAAACATTTAAACAACGATATTATGTAACGATTTTGCCTAGAAGTTTGTGTTTATTGTATTTTTAAACTATTTGAAAAAATATAGTTGAAGGATTCCTGTTAATATTACAAAGATAAAAGTATGAGTTTAGTTACCTCGAGCAGCTCGTGGAGACTGCGTGCCCAGCGCATGTAGGGCGGCGAGGCGGGCGAGCGCGCCGAGCTACCCGACGACCCTTCCGTCTGCTCGCGCCACGCCATACTGACCCTAACAACATAGAGTACATTAAACCATTCTACATATATTATACCATAACTAACTTCTAAAGATGGAGTTCAAAATGCATTCAAATGTTGACCTTTTGTGAAAATAGTTCAGCAAGACTAAGTAAGTGTAGGACTTACTTGGACAGATGTGGTTGTGCGAACACATATTTGGACTGAGATTTGTTCTTCTCCTCCCCAGAAGCCGGCGGCAGCGACGACCTGTCAGCAAGCTTGTGCTCCCAACCTTAACACAAAAAACATACAATTAGATTCAACATTGAAGACATTAGCTCTGAAAACTACTGAATGATTACAAAAAAGTAATTTCGACACAAAATTATAAAACAAAATTAACACTTTATTAGTTAAGATTAAACTCGTTAAGTGTTACCTTGCGGGTGGCCGCCTATAGGAGTGTGGCTCATGGCGCACAGGCCCTTCTCCCACCCGCGCGCTGCATGGCGAGACACCACCTGCACAAAAAAGCATACATAAATACATACAAAATATTAACCCAATGGGTCAAACTATTCTGGCTAAAGAAAAAAACCTCACACTATCACTATTTTAAATAAATAGTTCTAATATGTATCCTTTGGTTCATTTTTATTTACCTCAGGTTCAAATTTTCTTAAAACATATGCATTGCCAAGCCGTTTTACTCCCATTCTTAACAACATTTATCATAAACTCTATCAATTATACTTATTTAAAACCAATGAACCAACACTAAACTGAAATTAAGAGGGATAAGCTTATTATAGCATCAATTGCAATAAAAAAGTTATGAATATACCCAAGCGTCCCGTTCCCAAATCAAAATGTTGGGTATACCGCAAGAACTGCGCACCAAGCCACATAAAAAATCAATATGGCAAACAATAAGGATCATACCCAGTGTACTTAATTTCTATAAGTTAAAAAGAGATGGCTATAAAAAATGAGACAGCGTGCTAAAGTCAAGAGTCTCTGGCATCGATCGGTGCTGGAAGCTAACATCACATCTAAGCGTGACTTCTATAGAAACTTTATGTGAAAGCCACTTCCATTATAAAGTAATCCACTTACTACACATCCAGTATAAAGAATAAAATATCATATTTCATAACTTGCTCTACTAAAAAAATATTAATGTTCCAAAAGGGAACAGAAAAAATTCTATAATTTCTACTCAACCATATTACCAAATTACTTACTTACGAAAAAGGGACAGATTATAATAAAGCATGTCAAAACAAATTAAATCATAACTTCATGGTTCAATAAGCAAGTTATGATAAAAAAAACATAATAGGGCCACAAAAAATTGTAAAGGACCTCACCATGTTCATTGTGCTTAAATAAACAATACACTTCTTTGCAATACCAGTTTATAGAATTATATCTGAATATTATAACTGGATATTAGTAATATTTCCCCACAAAAACTTTTTTAAGAACAGCACGACTGCACAACGCTACCGCAGCAAACTGAGTGAAAGATCCATAGACGGAGGCTGAATGTTCAACACAATAGGGTACGGACTAATCTCATGCCCTTATATTTTGTATAGTGGCCGTGCTTGTGATAGGGTTTATTATAAATATGAAATCAATAACTGACAACAAAAAAGGTTTATTGAAACTAGGGTGCGCAGAATGTTATGAATGTTATATTATATTGCTGTCTTACTTTGTTTGGTTTGCTGAAATGATATCAAGGTTTTGAAATAAACTGATATTGTGATGAAAACTTACAAGTATTTTTCTTTGAACTTCACCAAAAACATTTTTTAAAGTAAGAAAAAGTAATCACGATTCTAGTTTTTGAACATGTTATAATGCAGGCGAGTTACGAAGCGTCACGTAGTCCAAAATTCAACAAATTTTCATTGAACATGACTAGCATAAACACAGGAAACAAGTTGTAAACAAAGGCACAGCTCGTAAAAAGTGCCGTCGCGGTAACAATCACGACGTGTAAAATTATCAGTACAATACCAGTTATAAGCCGAGACCTTCAATTTTATCTAATAACGGATCATCACAGTCAGAATTGACGGCAATAAATGCTATTTATCCCAAAATATCACGCCGAAACCCGGAAGGGCTGTATTTATAGAACGATTATGAAAGAAAACTTACATGAAAACGATTATTCTCACTTAACACGAAAGTTTTGAAAGTCGCCGCGAACGATAACTAGTGACATTAATTGAAAACTTTCTTCGAAATAAATAATAAATTAGCTTGAATCGGTTTTGTATACAACACTGAAGTTTGACATTTGTTTGACAATCAGCCATGACATGACAGGCTGCAGGGTGCTGTATTTCAACGCCATCTCTCGACGACGCTATGAATCACGGCAAATGTCCACGATATGACAGGCGCCTCTGATTCCACGCTTAAAAATGCCGGTAGATGGCAGTACGCGTCCTAAACGGTCTTGGTTATTTCTCAGCGCGGCAAAAACAAATTGAAACAAAATGTTACAACTTCGTAATATTACTTTACTGCTCCAGGAAACAAATCGTAAAAATAGTAGTTACCTGTGTAGCAGCTTAATGCCGCTGCATGACTGTTTTTGTGTCTTGTCTATTTGCTGCGTACTATCTGAAACAATAAAAAAAATCTGGTGAAAAAGTGTAATTGTTATTTTACCAATGACGCGACGAGTCCTGCAATCTTCATAAAAATAATAGTAAGTACTTACGCAAATTACTTCATAGAAAACATGAAATGAATTGTCTACTTTTTTTCTGTTTACAAATTCATCGAAATCTTACAAAGTAAGTTATTTGTCAGACAGTGTAGGCATCTTAAGTAGGTGTATACGGCGTCATAATATTCACCTTTTGAAGGCGAATTAATTTGAGGATTCCAACTCGATTTACAGATGAAATGAATAGATAGATATCAAAGACGTTTCTCTGAGTATAGCTCTGATATTTGATTTCGTGAAGATCAGACAGACGGCAAAATTGATTTGTCAAAATCCTTGTAGGTACACCTAATAATATATTGTAATTTGACTGTCGCTGGGTCTCAAATTATTGATTTCTCTCAAGTGTTACCCACATAGTATAGTATGATTAATTAAATTAACATTATAATGTTTAACGTCAACTTAAAATATTTAATAATGCTAATGAAAGGCTTGTTCACTATTTGTGATTGAGACACTTCCTTAATCGAGACTTTGCGAATCTATTACTTTAAAGGTAAAGGCATTTACTACAAAAACATAAGACATTTCGATAAGAATTTTAAATTAGGCGACTAGAGTAAACTAATATTAAAAACTAATATTAAGTTATTAGATGTAAAGAATTTCTAAATTATGATAAACTCTGAGTGTAGTCATTAACAGTATTTTGCAAGATCGAGCATTATAAGAAACCGTAGACCTACACCCACCGTAATCAAGGAATACAAACTTTCACACAACAATCATAAAACATGTTTTGACACAACAATTGACACGTCCATAAACAAGAGTAACATGGTAAAACAAGTTATTAGCGTGTCTCGTACATTTTGTGGATTTAATTGTGAAATATAATTTTGTAATAAAGTTTTACTCCGACGCTAATAATGCTTTTCATGTTCCTCGACTGATCTTGTATAGATACCGCGGAACATCCCTATAACTTCATTAGCTGTAGCGATTAATCGACTATCGATATCGATAAAGGCCCGCCCCCAAAGCGTCATTAGCCGAGAGCACGCACTAAGCGACTCTTTGATGTGCGCAAACTTTTCGTTTCCCTTTGATTGGCATAATGGAACTGTGCGTTGTTATTACACTAATTGAATTTTCGCAAAGTCCGAGCCGTATTACGGAACGGATTTAGTAACATTCTGTTTGTCCCTGTCCACGTTCCTAGGGGGCTTTTAATTTATTTGAAGCTTTATAATTTGTACTAAGTATCATTGCTTATAACTCCACTTTGTATTAATTGAAACCTTATAATGACTGTATATTTATTTTAGTGGATAAAAAGCTAACATTTACTCGTACAACCGACTTGTCTATTGCGACACTTTTTACTAAAAGGAAACGTAAAAAGCTTACATAATTACCTCAGCATAATATTTGCTTTGCCTTATAACTTAATTTCACTAGGCAGACACAGTATCACTGAGTAAAGACAAATTCTCTATGAAGTGAAGTTAAAAGGGAAAATACGACTGTATGATTGGTTTTACAAGTCAGCAAGATCAAAGGGCCTGTAGTCCTTTCATTTTAGGCCGCCATTCGCGGATTACATTAAAAAAGAGAGAAAGAAAATGTAGAAAGTTAATTATAGGTATTTAAGTGAAACAGTCACAGATAAAAGAATCACTGATTACAGACTAAAGCCTAAATAAATCCTTTGAAGAGGTTTCGCTTTTTTGGCGCGTGGCTTACGTATTAATACGACTTGTATAAAATTACTTACGCCCAAACAAATTGGTTTTCCTTTGAAAGTTCCACCAGAGTCTGTTTGGTTTATTTTTGAACTAAATAATTTATTTTATATCATAAATGTTTGTTTGCGTAATTACAATCTTGAAATCCAAGCCAGTTTTAAGGATTTTTCATTCTTGTTTTATGACTACTTAAAATACAGGCGCTATTAAAGAAATTAGGGTATTGTCTGCAGAGTATTAACGTATTGAAGAAAACGATTCAACGTTACCTCGTTCCCTTCTGTTAGGTCAACTCAACAAACAGTGTCCGAGCACTTAAAATGTTGCGAAAAACCTTTGAAGGCGGCCCCGGTCCCGTCCCAATACATCAATAATAGTAACCAGCGGTAACAAGAGATCAAAATGATAAGGGTACTGATTCATCGTATTAGCGTTCACTCATCAAAGGGGCTCGGCCACTTTGATCGGGATGCTTCCTGAGAAATTCCTTTGGCACTAAACAACACACTAATCAATCGGGAGGGGTACACCGTAGACCCAATCGGAAAAGGCATTAAGGGCAATAGTTCCAGCTTGCGGTAAACTGTTTGCGAGCGAGGTAGGGAGGTGTGGAGGCCGGTGGGGGATGTTCTCGCCGTACATCAAAGGCGGGCCGAGACAAAGCTTGAGGAGCCTTTTAACTTTATTTAGCGGAGTGGTAAGTTTAGCCGGTCGCGAATCGCGCAGGTTAAAGAGTAACACACTCACTTTGAGCCGGAGCTGTGGGGAATTCATAGGGCTGGCCAGAACTGCTCTATGAGAAATCCTTTGTGGACCAGGCTTTTGGTAGCGGTAATTAAATCTGTTTGTTCTAATACAAAATATCATACTGATTGATAAGATTGTGATTGGAACTGGAAGTAGTCACATCAGCTTGTATTAATGATGTTTGTTATAACTAGGAATTAATTTCACTTATTTATAAACATACAGTCTTCATTACATAACCATAACCTAGCGACTATTTACTTCACCCCGCAGGTCAATAAACCCTGAATGGTCTTAAAGTCTTGACGTTCAACGAGAAGGAAAATCTGTCA